ATAAGAAGGTGAGAGGCGTATGTTAGGTCTTGGCTGGGATGCTGCAGAGTCAAGGGGTAATGGAGATGATGGTGGATGTGATTTCCTGCAACCTTCTACATGTGGAAAATCATGGGGTTTTTTTTAAACTATGGGCATACTGGAGCTGTTGAGGAAGAAAATGTTGAGTAATGATGAAATGTGGTGGCCAAAATGAGGGTTTGGCAGACTATTTCTACTGGAACTCCATAACTAGTAAGTGGCTGTTCCCAGAGCAGGTAAACCTTGTCCTGAATGCTTTCCCTGACCAGATCCCTTCAAGAAAATGAAGGGACAGGGCACTGTGAGCATGCCATAGGGACATCGCTGTTGGCTATTGTGTTGAACTGCAATTAGTGGTTAATTTTGGGCGGCCTTGTGAAGGTCTCAGAAGTCAGGAATGACGTCATGACTTGTCAGCTCCATTGGTCTTGCAAAATCCCTCCACTGCTGCTGTACTTTTCTCCTGTGTTGTATTTCTTGCATGTTTGACTTCCTCTGTGTGATCAGGTATGTGCTGATGTCTGTCACAATTGTTTGCTCTTTGATCCTTCCAGGCCTGGTGCTAGTAGTCTTGTGTTGTAGGGAAGGGGACAGTGTACCCAGTGAACAGAACAGGCTTCTGTTCCTAAGAAACCAGATCAAAGTTCAGACAAGTCATTCACTCTTCTGTTGCTGACTTGGAACAAATTGCTTCAAGATTCTGTCTTTTAGTGCTTTCTGTCCATGAGGCTTTAGTGCTATTTTAAAAAGATCTTGCAGTATGAAGTGCTGTTTAAAGAGTTTTTTTGTGTAGTGATTTTATGATCTCTCAAATGTACAGTATACAGTGTCGTTTTGCATACCTATCTATAAGCAAAGCCATTTCAGATATGTGTATTTGTTTAGTCAAGCTGTAAACTGAATAGTTAAGCAAGTTGACCATCTCATGCAAGCATCATGGTAATAATAATTGTTTCATTGCAGATGTTCCTGTACTTTGGTGAACTGGGATTGGCTACATGCTCTGCTGACCACCTCATTATTTTGTGGAAGGATGGTGAACGAGAATCTAGCCTCCGCAGTTTAACACTATTTCAAAAATTGGCACAAAATGGTGATTTGCAGCTCAAACTTTAAATTGCTTGAATACAGGCTACATATATGTAAAGTGGATGTGTGTTAAACCTGAGTGTAAGGTAATGTCTGAGCTACTGGGAATCTGACTACCAGTAACGCTTACACTTGATGTCATGTACTATACTGGAAATTTTATTAGTTGCTATTACTCTTCTGAAAGGAGAATTTTGCATGTTGGCTTACTCTGTCAGCAGAAATGGTGTTCTCTTGAAAGACTGAAGATAATGATGGCTCATTAAATAGTTTCTAATGTTGTTCCCACATGGGTGGATGTCAAGATTTGTGAAAATCCTCAGATGAATCATAACTAAAACAGTTAGGGGTATCCACAGTGCTATGTGCAGAAAGGAGGCATGGCAAAAAATCTGCAGCATAAACCCCAAAATACAGTGACAAATAGACAAAAGCCGAAGAACCACAAACCAACCCCAAAGCAAACAAACCAACAAAAAAAAGCAAAGTTAACCCCAGAACTGATAAAAAGAAAGGGTGAGGGAGAATGAGATAATGAGTGATAAGTTACCATTTGAACAAGAAGAACTAGGGAAAGGGAGAATTTGGGAACTTAGTGGGTGCTACTGTCCTCAGGTCTTCTCAGAAGATCCAGTACTTAATGGTTTAGGACTAAGTCTTGTGCAGCTTTTGAATACCATCTCTTCCCTTTGAATCTATAAGAATTGGTTTCAGTACAAGAGACTACAAGGGTGTAACTTGGTACTTAAGATACAGTGTTTGCAGTAAGTGCAATTAAAACAAAGGGCTAAGCAGATCCTGGCAAGAGTAGAAGCAAAAGGAGGAAGCTCCTAGTTTCCTAGAAGAAACCAAGGAGCCTTTTAGACTTGCCTTCCTCCAGTGGGCACTTGCCTTCCTCCTACTACCCAGAAGCCAAGCTTTGCCTCTTGAGTCTGACCATACTCTCTAGAAGGTAGAGCAGAGGGACAATAAGATTTTGAGCTGTATTTTTTTCCTACCTTAGTTAACTAATTACCTATAGGTAACCTTATTTTGAGTAGAGAATTCAAAATAACTTAGTTCAAAACCACAAAACAGGTGGGGAAATTGTTAAACTGCTGCCTTTCAATTCAGGAAGGTTAAATCAGTGTTAAAACTTGAACTGCATGTTCCTTGCTCATTGGCTCTTCTTTTGACCAGCCTAGGAAAAGCATTTGGATTACACCTGAGGATAACATACTTCTGGTTTTATGGTATTAAACTAGGGAGAGAAAGGCATGTTAAGTCTGCATCGTTTCAGCTGGTCTTCGTTGCATTTTTGGCTTCCCCAGCACAAGCTGGGGAGATGAAGTTTTATTTTGGCTCTTTGCCTTGTTTCAACTGAGAACTGTTCAGTTGTTTATAAAGTGTGTTTACACATTGTTACTAAACCTTTAAAGTGAAAGCTTATAAAAATTAGATTATTTGGAGAGAATACTGCTATCATCAGTTATAGCTAGAGAGAAGAAAGCTCGTATTTTTATTCTCTCTTATACCATGAGAACAACTATTTCCTTTTTATGTGACTGCTTTTAAGTGAATACCTGGTAGGAAAACAGACCTATTTAACTAAACAGTTCTAGTCACAAAACTCACTGTGCAATTTACAGGGATGTAATTCATCCTTAAATAGTCCTACATGCATGTATAAATATTTATATCTATCAAAAGTGCCATTGTTCTCAGATACACTCCACTGGCAATAGATCTCCCAAGGATCTCTTCCTTTAAAGATGGTTGAGTTGAAAGTATTAAATTGAGTTCTTTGTTTTACAAATGAACTTCGAGCATAACAGTGAACATTGTAACAGTATACTGTCCCATTCCTCCGTTAAATGAGAGTTAGTCACTTGCTGCTGGGAGGTGCAATGAGCAGAATTATGGTGACCAGATGAGAATTCTTACTTCTTACTTACGTAGTTTTAAACTTTTTTCCACCTTGCGATAACACAGAATTCTGTATGTTCACACCATAAAAGTAAATATCAGACCTACTCTTAATACTTTTACAACTCTGAGGTGACTGTTTTACACATCTGTGCACTGACAATAGCATGAAACAAGCAGCTGTTAGTCACTGGACTAGTTTAGGAGATCTGACACAACTGGCAGATGACAATTAATCTGTGCTGATTTATTTTGCTCCTAAAGAGGACCTATCTCCACAGAGATTGCTCTTTTTTTACTTAGTCTGACTGTGGGAAGAAACACGTGATCTTGCAACAAATGTATTGATTCCACATTAACACCTTGGCCTCGGTTCTTGTTCACAAGTTGAACTTTATTTTTTAGATTCCTTCCACTGTTCACATTTTTTTTTCTTGTGACAGAAGTGTGACAAAAATTATGAATTGAAATGTTTTACATGGATGTGGTCTTACAGTGTTGCTGTATTTAACAAATTAAGCTTTGAATCTTAGGAAATTCTTTTCTCTAATGCAAGCTGCAGTGAGCATTCAGTTATCAGATAGTTAAGGTACAACCACCGAGAGCACTAGTTCTAAATAAAGAAATGGAAAAAGCAAACAGTTTACAGTATTAGAAAACAGAGGTTCAACTAATCTGAATAAAAATCCATTGAAGAATGTTGCCATAGATAATAGGAAAGAATGAGGAAACACGCTTCACCAGAAACACAGTTCTTCAAGTATACACAACGCAGCATTTTAATACACAGCAACCTGCCTTAGCTATGACAAAAGTAAGGATCTGTTACAATTCTAACAAAAATATAGCTTATATACATTTCTCTGCACATACATTTTATGAATGTTTCCTTTTGTTTCAGAACTTGGTACAAAACATACAAAAAAGGTTGGCACATTATGTAAGCTACCTGCAGTAAACAGCATTGTCACTATGTTACCACAGCAGTCTCAATGCTGTTTGCCTTTTTTTTTTTCTTTATCCAGTTTGATTCTTAGTACAGCATAGGGGGAGTGGACTGCTTCTTCAACTGCAGCCACAGCTTTGACAGTCTTGCCTGAAGCCTGGAGTGCACAGTGTTAAAAATCAGCAGTTCTGCTCGTATTTATTAACTGAATAATCTAATAATAATCTAAAATTTGAACTCATGTTCTGCCTGTGATTAAAATGAGATGTACAAAAATATGCATTTGTGCTTTGAAAGCCTTAGCATAAATTTCATATCTTAAAACTAATGAAAAACTATGTTTGATTTCTAACTTATTTACATACTTTGAAGTACTTTTTACATCACAAAACAAACCATCATTTTATTAGGAGGATAAAGCAGTAGAAATTGTAATGCTGTTATAAATTATAACCTGGAAATTTTTTTAAAAAGCAACAGGTTCATCCTAGAAGTAAGTAGCACAATATTGAACATATCATAAAATTTAGGTCAGTTTAATAAATGTAACGACCATGCATACAAACTCCACTTTATAAAAAAATGATGGTGATCAAGTGCCACAATAGTTTTCATGTAAAATGTGATGAAATCTTGCATGATAATGTCTGTAAGATGGCAGAGAACCATGGGGATGGCACCAGCTATACAGAACATGCTTATTTTCCTTCATTATATGATCAGTTTTACGGGACATTGACTCCTACCAAGATTTTATATGGAAAAGAAAGAACAGGTGGTGCTCTGAGAGAGAATCTCTATAATAAGAAGGTTGATTTAAAAGGTGCCAGCTTTGGGTTTTTTACTATATCCAGTTTATTGAGGTTTTATTGTTCTACTGTGCATATTCTTTTTAGAAGTATGGTTCAGAGAGCTGAACAACATTGATAGAATTGGAACAAATTTATATGAGATAAGTGGGAAATTTTTATGCTTATTTGTCAGGCTGTTCTCACTCTCCTGGTGACTACATTGCCCCTCTGTCTGAGAAACAGTTGTGTGAAGTGTTAGTGAATACAGTTGTATCAACTACAAGATTCAACAAGTGCATATTCAGTATTAGAAATTAGTTTCAGAAGTACATATGCTGCCACAAAATATTATTTCCAAAGAGCACTTAGTCATCTGTGGATTATATAGCCTCATTGAAAAACATTTTTCTGTAGAGTTCAGAGAAGCTTAAAAATTACGTGTGAAATATTTCCTTCTTGTTATGTAGTCTTAATTCACTGGAAAGGTAATATCATCCCCTTTGTAGCCAAGAGTCCGTAAGTGATTCACAGTGAAACTGGTAGAGCAAGAGGTCTTTTTTTTGATTTTGTGTCAGTTGTTGTTTTCTGATGGAAGCCTCAGACTCTTGCACTTTAAATCATCCAGTGTTTTCCAGTGTTTATAGTTATTAGCCAAGTGTTGCATCAAAACAGGCAGATGTGCAAATGCTGAAAGAACAGGAGAAACAGTTGTACTATGTATACAGAATGGGCAGAAGAACAGCCTAACGTCGTCTGAAATTGGCATTCTCCTACTTCTTTTGTTCCTTCAGCTCCTTAAACTAATACTAAAAGGGGAAAAATTTTTTTAGTGTGTTTCTCTTTCAAGAAAATCCCTTTCTTAATGCAGGATGACTTTATTAAATTATGCTAACACGCAACCACATTGGACTTAGTTTCTGCTGCTCAGAAGAAATACGTTGCTAAAGGAAAAAAAAGTAGATGAGAAAAAGCTTATTTTTAAGCCATTACTCTTCCTCTACATAGATTGCCTGGTAATTGCTCAACTTTATAAAGCGTGTGTTTTGTGCAGTGAAACAGGCTTCAGCAGTATCACTGCACAGTATCCTGTGCTGTACTGCTTATATACAGGTACCGACCCTCAAAAAAGTGGACTCAAGGCCAGTTTGAGATGAGTCATTTTAGTCTGTAGGAATATCTGCTTCAGAGCAAGGAAGAAGTAAGCAGAAGTACTTACCATCCCACGCATCAAACATATCTGTTATAAAATAATCAATGAAGGAAATCTGAGACTTGGGGATGCTGCAGGTGTTTCTGTCAAATACTGGCATTACAACAGGCAGACCCTGTCTCTTCTCTTCATCAGTCTAAGAAGACAAAACTCCAGTTAGCCACTAAAGCTTTCCTGACTTCCATGCTGGAGTAGCAAAGCTCAGGGGATTAGATGAATTGCAGTAGGAGATTTGACACAAACCTTAGAACCCCTGAGGTGAACTGCCTCAGTTTCATATGTGTTATTTCATCTGGAACAGGGACTGAAATCAACATCCCTTCCCTTTCACAAGTACTCTTATTTTTGTAGTTCTGTGATTGCACTTAGCTCCAGCAAGACAGAATGCTCTAATCAGGTGATCAGGGTACACCAGCTAAAAAATGGAAAATGGGGTTGCAGAGTCCATTAGCAGAGGACTGGTCTCTCCATTTCTCCACATCTCTACTGGCTGTTTCAAACCATTTGCCATTTGTCTTTTAAGTAAGAAGAGGCTGTTGCCGAGGCTACTTTCTCTGCTGGTATCAAGTTATAAGATGAATGCAAGTAAAGGTATGCCCTTTAACTCTGTGTCCGCAACTGAAACAGGGCTGGTTTTGTTGCACTTAGTATGGTGGAGGATCAAGTCACCTCAGCTGTTTCTTAGAACTAAATTACAAACCAAAAAGAAGTCCCATTTTAAGCTGTATGGGGAGCACCTATGCTGGAATTAGCAGCAGAGCAGTCCTCAAAATTAGCAGGTGAATGAACAGCAGAACAGTTCTGAGCACCTCACATTGCTGCATGTAGGCTAGTGCCTAAGCTGGGCAATTTAAAACTAGCTTATGACACCTTGACTGCTAGGGAGATGCAGCCTAAGTGATCCTTGATCTTACTTAGGACATAACAGAATTTATTCACTGTGATTAAAATGAAATTCAGACATGTCCTAAGTACTTGCTACAATTTTCTTTTGGTAATAACTATCAAATGTATGATCTGAATTTGTATGGTAGGCATGCCCACTTTTCTGCCTTTCCACTCATAGCTGCTGATTTTTGTACCATTAGTGGCAAAAAAAAAGCTTAAGATTTTTATCAGTTGTTCAAGTAAAGAACTAAAAGAATATTTCACTTTCAGGAGGCTGGTACATTTCTGTCAGAAAAAAATGAATGTGAAGAAGTGAACTTGAGCTTTCAGTTCTGTCTGGAGAGATCCCATGCCATAAGTATTTACACTGGCCATGTGGCTCTACTACTCATCTGCCTACACTGACAATAGTTCGCGTCCTACCTTAGAAGAGAAAGGGCCATCCCAGTGGTTCAGCTGAGGGCTGCATCAGACATGCATCTTCATGCTTCTTCATTGGGACTAGAAGCTAGAATGGTGATGGTCTTGAATTTCAGCCAATTAAATTGACTAAGACTAATCAAATCATTTTGTTTTGGCCAGATGAAGAAGGTTGAAAATGTAAAACTTCCTTTTCACCATTCTGTTCAATGAGCTTCATGGTGAGCAAACTAGCTAACTGCCTGGCGTGAATCCTTCTGCATGAAACTGATGGGCCAGTTCTGGCTGGGAATAAAAAAACCCCACGTCTGGACTCTGGTCACACCAAGCAGACCCTTTGTGGAACAGCAGACCAGCAGCTGATGTGCATTTTCTTACATAATATAATGGTCAAATCATAAAAGTATACGTACCTGTGCGAAATACTCCTCTGAAATCCTCCCTGCCCATTCAATACACAGCTCTAGAGGGCGACATGGATTTGCTACATCTGCACATTTAATCATCATGCGCTTGATCAGTGTCTGGTTGTCTGGAAAATTCTTTATATTGGCTGTACATTCAGTGTCGCTGCCTTCACTCTGTAAAGCAGAGATGATTACAGTGACCAGGGGCCACATCCTCTGCTGGCAGGAGTGAGGGTGTTGTTATCAGCTCTACTGCACTTGGGCAGTAAGCAGGCACCCAGTCTACCGCCTTCTAATGTCATGCAGAGCACCAGGAATTTGGAGAAGAAAGTGATGTCTGAGAACTACAGCCTTGCTAAGTAACTAATTGTAACCCCAGTACATATTACAGTTGTGAAGATTCTGAGAATTAATAGCTAAGTTTGTAAAATAAAGAGCTATAGGCTCTTTATCAGGTAGGAAGTCACTTTCTCTGCATCCTAGACTTGTCCTCTTGGAAGAGGACCATGATAGCAGATGCATCCCCCAACTGCTAGGTCATAAATGATCCTCAGTGCTGAGTGTTTAAATTTGAGCCTGGAATCATCTCTGGTTTTAGTTATGAGCAAGGGTGCAGTCTTAGGTAATCTATGAGATTAACACTAAGAAAACACAAGGGCAGCAGACTGACTGCAGAAAGTCTCTACTTGATAGACAGTAAAATATCAAACTGCTTACTGACTGCTCTGGAGGGCAGGTGGACGTGACAAGGTAGTTGTTACAAGTCCACTGTGGCATCATATTCTGAGTCTTGAATAGTTTAGAAGGGCACAGGTATGTTATGCTCCTTGTGGAGTAATAAAAAACCTACACCTCAGCTCATCATGGCATTAACACTGTTCTCAAAATATTTGTGTGATTATGTTCTCCCTTCACTGCTAAATTCAACTCCTGAGTCAAAAACTGAACATAAGTACTTTCTACCACAGCAACTAAATTAATGTCGCTGTGGTTTATGGAGAGATATTTTGTAGTGACTTTTGCCAGTTCAGGCACTAATCTTCTAACTTTATGTTTAGCAGTTAATTCTTTTTCAGCATGGATAGCCCAGCAAAGAGCTGCCAAATTAACCCTGCACCTTAACTGCTGTTCAAGACAAAAATAGAAAGAGCCACTGTTAACAGTAAAGAACAACTTAATACTGGGGGAAAACAACCAGTCTGTAGTACAAGTGGTTCTGTGCTGCACTTTTATTGTGAGGTAAGTTCAGCAGCATTTGTGATTTCCAGCTCAAACTGTTGGGAGAGTAGAGCTCAGCAGTTCCTAGAAGTAGTTCAGTTCAACTGACGTAATGCTGTCTCTAAAGTCATAAACCCTTGCAGTCCTGACTGATTTCTGTACCCTTGACACCCTACAGTGCAAAAAGTCCAGTTACAGATAACTACCAGAAGCGACTTCTATTTATTTTTAGTATCTTTGACTTTCAATTTTGTCTGATTTTTTTTTCAGTGTTTCCAACAAAGCACTATTTTCACTAAGGTGGGCTAAGGTAGTCTTTCCTCAGGTAACACTGCTCTGGAGAACCCTGTCAGGCCCTGAATGCTCAGCCTTCAAAGGCAACAAAAGAAGGTAAGAGGGGCATGGGAAACTCAGAGGCAGCTTATAAAACATACCCTGGCTGGAGCATTAGGGTGTGTAACTGATAGGAATAAAGGCCTGGCCATCTCTTGGTACAGTCAGGAGTGGAGAGGTCTCAGGAAGGTATTCTTCAGGCCTTGAAGGCTCCAGATTACACAGACCCAAAACCATCAAGGTAGGTTCCTCAGTTACAACCCTAGGCTCAGGCAAATCCCACTGTTTGGAGACAGGACCATAGGCACAAGTGCCAACCTGGCTTCATGTACAGAATTTTCCATGTTAAACAACACCCACCTGCATATTTTCTGAATACAAATGGCTTTGAAGACAAAGCTTATAAATGAAATGCTTAAATGAGCTAAGGACAGAGCCAGACATAGAAAACAAGAAAATGAAAGTATTTTTTCAAACTTTGATGTGTGAGGTCACAAATCCAATTGTGTCATTTTGGACATTACCACAATGCAAATTAATCAAGGTGAATGAAAATGATACTTTAAGTTGTCTTGGAAGAACCTAACTGAAATGCCTGATGGTGTAGAGTCCCCCAAGCACTTACGTGTGGGCTGGTCTCCTCAGGTGCCATAGGCTTGTTGATACTGTTCACAAATTTGTTCACATGCTCAAAGTGCTTCGTCATCTCTGTTGCCAAAACCATATCGATAATGGCCTGGCGCAATGTCCGATAGCGATTTCTAGGAAAGAAAAAGAGTTCCTGCTCACAAGCCTGCCAGACAGAGCTCTGTCCTTTCCTCATACCTGCCTAGGCAGTGCTGCAAAATGCTGCTCAAGGGCTCACCATGTGAGTTGGCACCTTCAGAGACAGGAACAGTCTAGGGATGGAGGAATGGACTAGATCGTTCCTCTCTGGGTTCCTCCAGCTCTGTTATTTTTGCCTGATGACAATCAATCCCCTGAGGTTAGTAAAAATTTACAGCTCAGTTTCATAATGCTGTAACACTAAGACAAGTTGTCCAGGAATGGCACCAAGACATTCATGTGACTGTATGCTAGCTTGGAACTCAAAGCTCAGGTTTTTCAAAAACAACGCTGTTTGGGGTCAGGCTGTTTCCCTTTCAGATCTCTTTCCCTCTCACCTTGTCCCTGCAAAAGCTAGGCTCACGCAATGGAATTCCCAGGCTACAGCATGCCACAGGGAGCCTCCAGATCTCCCAGAACTTCGTGTCGGTCTGCCACTACCCGTTCTGCCCCATGTGAATACAGTAGTGCTTGGAAGCATAGGACCTTGTGCAGACACAGCATGCAGCATCTAGCTGCTGGGGTGGAAAAATATACCGCAGAAAAGTAATTTCTAGGCTCCTGCAACCAAAAGGCCGTGGGCCAAAATGCAGTCTTGAGGTTGTCAACTGGACGATGTTAATGTAGTCCATAAAAGATTATTGAACATCTCTATAAGATTCCAAAAATTACAAGTTGGAAGGGGTGATGAAGGGGGAAATGAAAGCCTTTTTTAAAAATCATATCTACATGGGATTCTGGAAGAGGTTAAATATTAATATCTGTATTTAAACTGTGTATTCTTGTTTAGAAGGTAGGCTCTCAATCTACCCCAAACTAAAACTGCCAAACAAGCAATCCACACATGGGCACTCCTCTTCGCCAGAAGACACACCTATCAATATTCTTGAAAATGTTGCATTTGCCGTCTTTAGTTGTAAGCTGAAACGCCAGTGCTGTGTGATGACTCTCTAATACAGCTGTATCATTGTAAAGGACAGCTAATTCACTGCCTGCATTGCACAGGAAAGAGTTGGTCCGTCCAGGGTGGTCTACATCATGAATGGTGGCAGCTATTAATGCAGCTACCTCATCTAAATGGTCCAGACTTCCCTACAGGAAGAGAGAAAAATTATGATGTGGCACAAAAATTACGGTAAATATTTTCTGATCATTTCTTGGTGCCCTTGATTATGCAAACATAAGCTTCAGTGTAAGGATCCTACCTCCTTGCAATCATTTTCCACTCAGTGTGCCCACAGATTAACTACTATAAAACTCTCACTCCCACCCCTACCCATATACTCTTTTCTTTAAAGAAGCTTTTTACTATGCTGTCACCTAAGCAATATCTTGGCATAAAATTCTCTAATGGTTAGATAATCTAGAGATTCCCTCAGTGTGTGCTTGCCTGAATGCATCTGTACTGTTTCTGCCTCTTCACACCTTTTATCTTTGAATACAGTGGGACAGACTGTTTCATTTGGAAGTGACCTACAATGATCATTAGCCCAACTGCCTGACCACTTCAAGGCTGACCAAAAGTTAAAGCATGTTGTTGCCCAAATGCCCTTAAACACTGACAGGATCAGGGCATCAACCACCTTTCTATGAAACCTGTGACCACTCAGTAAAGAAATGCTTCCTAATGTCCAATCTGAACCTGCCCTGGCACAGCTTTGAACTATCCCCACTTGTCCTATCATTGGGTATCAGGGAGAATAGCTCACACTTCCCTCTCCAAAGCTTTTGCAAAACTTTATTACGAGCGTTACTAACCAAGACAGAGAAAAGAGCCAGGTTCCCTCCCCACCCCCATTATTACTACTTAAAAAAATTAATTTGTATAAACAGACTTTAGAGAAACTGTATGGGCTTGCTGGCTTCACAGGAAGACTTCAAGGGCAGAGAGAGTTTATGAAGCCAGGACAATTATTTAAACACGTGACTTTTGGATGACACACATAAAATGGTAAACACACTGAAACCCTAGCCCAGAGGACTCCTAGGTGAGGGTTCTACCTTAACTCTCTCCTTGCCAAGGAAGAAGGCGGTAGCATGCAGGACATCTGCTGCGTGTGTGGAGTTGTGGTAGGAGTTGGAAGAATGGTAGTTGGCTTCAATGACCTGCAGCCATGCCCGCAGCGTTACTTCTGAGCAGTTTAAAAACTCAGAGACCCCAAACCGGGCAAAAACTTTTAAGCCCAAATACACTAATGGCCTGAAAAATAATAGAAGAAAAAAGCACTGTTGTAAAATAGGAACTTGTGTTGTTCTAAAAGCAATATGTTTGATGAAGAAAACAACAAGACCTTAAAAAGGGTGGGTAATGTTAAACATTTTTAAATTGCACATCTATAGCCTCTCAAAAGCCTGGCCAAGGTTACAAATTACTGTATCTACCATCCTTTTAGACATTATTTTAATATGTTTTGTGGAAATGCTGCAGTTCCATTAGAGTTTGAACAATTCCTGTGGCTTCAGAAAAAACATCTTAAAAGCCCAGGTCTTTTGTGGCTTTTAGTATCTGTCAGTCAAAAAAAGTACATTTATTTTTTTCCTGAGGAGGAAAAGCAGTCTTTGAACACGACATGGAGACATCCCAAAGACTAAGAAGCCATAAGACAAAAAAAGGTCAAATATCAAATGTAAACTGCTGTGTGTGTATATGTGTGTGTGTGTGTGTAATGATGGGCAGTCCATGTGTGAAACAGTAAATATAAAACTACTAATATTTTTGGTTCTTAAATCCAGATCCACTCTGGGTTATCATTTACACTGCATTGCCTGTGAGAGAGTCCATCAGTCATATTTCTCACTCATACAAGATGATCTGCAGAGCCTCTGAGCTGCGAAAGGCATAATCAAAACCCAGCATCTGCAGATTAAACCCAGGCACATTCCTAAAATTGCCATTTTCTGCAAAGAGAGTACAAAAGACTGAATAGTCTCTGATTCTTTGTGTCTTGGAATGAAACCCACTTTTCTCTGTGGGTGACGTGATTATTTTTGCAGTCTGCATGACCTCAAAACTACTGATGTCTCTTGATCGTATCACTGGTTTATCCTCCATTCCATTTTTTTATCCCTATAATCAAAAGCCACAGTTGCCTCAGACTTTCCCAAATCATAAGATGATTTAGGTGAGGGAGGGAAGAGGCTTGCTTTTTCCAGCATGACCATTTTTACATGAGCAGGAAAAAGAGGCATCTGCAGGACATCTAGCATGTAACAACATCAGACTGTGCCAAACAGTGTCACCTGGATAGAGTGGACATAAGTCAAGCAAAACAGCTGTCACAGATTTACTATGTCTTGCTTCAGTTTTTCCAGAGCAAAGCACTTTCTGCTACAGCTCATCAACAGCCTTTCTCTGGGCACCTAGGGCAAGGAGTCCAGTACCTTTTATTTGTAACAGCCTCCAACTCAAAAATATTGAAGTCCCAGGTTTCCTCATTATCTAGGAGCTGTGCAATACAGGGTGGAACATCATTGATGGTGTTTGGCACGGGAAGGTGACTGTGGCTCAGGTTCACATCTGTTGAAATGGAATTTTGGAATCAACACATTTCTGGATTATTCCCCCTACACTACTGCAACCCCCTGCGGAATTCCATTTAGAAAACAACTCTTTTTCAAGAAAAACAACCTTTTCCTTACATGAAAAAGTCTGTAAATGCCTATAATATAAATGGTTTATTACGTTTGAACATTAATCAAAAAGATCAGTGAACATTTCTTTGACAATTTTTTTGCTAACATCTCAAAATGCCTTATTTTAATTATTTGAACCTGCTTCAACTCCAAAATGGAGGCAATCTAGCACTTGTTCTGCAGTCACTTAGCCAACCATTTCCAAAGGCATATATGCCACTGCAAATAAGCCCGAAGCTCTATGTCAGCAGTGTTGACAAAGGAAGTCACACATGCAAAGGAAGTTTAAAACGGTGGCTTACTCTTAGAAAACACATACTCATTTCCTGACAGTCTTCTTAAGCCATCCTGGAAAAAAAAAACAAGTTTATTGTAAGTTTTAGGCAGAGTGACCATGCATCACTAGTTGCAAAAACACTACATGCATTTTCTCTTTAGCTACTATTCCTGGGTACTAAAACCACTGCTCTTACTGTAGCGTTATAAGCACCATCCTTGTTTTAAGATTTTTCAAAACAGACATGAAAGGATCCCAAGAAGACTGGTATGAGATCTCCAGAAAGGATATTATTAACTATACAGTATATTGCCCTCTTTGACCCTTTCTTTGCCACCTGCAGGATTTCATCATTCAAATTAGCCACTATAATTTATTTTTCATTTTCTTTATATTATTTTGGCAGGAATTAGCTCAGTGTACATTAAAAAATGAGTAAATCCTTGATGAAATATAGACAGTCTATCTCTTGCTGCTGTTACAGGACCAAAGTGAAAACCTGATTAAAGCAACCTCACTCCTACACTGGACCAGTTGTAGAGCGATCCCTCTAATCCCATCTAAGCTTCTAGAGTTTCTAAAAGGTATCTCCTTCAGTGTCTCCTGAGACAAATCAGACTGGATGATACAATTTATAGTGGCAACCGTGTTCACTTATATATGAGGATGAATGCACCCAATGGACTGAGATGTGGCCATATCTTACTACATCTTAGTGCTGATAAAGAGGTCAAAATCCTAAAGTGAAATGGTGATGAATCCCCTTCCCATTGCTTGAGACATTTTTGCACAGCAGAGCACTGAAGGGTGGTATAGGACACTTACAGTAGTAACTTCATCTTTACTAATTTTACTCACAGTCATCAGACCTCCAACAAGATCACTTGTGTGAGGGTCTTCATCTTTGGTACCTAGCTGAGGGGAGTAAAGCTCTGTTGTCCGCAGGATTTCCAGAACTCTGTCCAAGGCCTCTGCTACTGTGATGGGGCTGTTTTCCTGGGCAGCATTAATTATGTTAATAACCTGAAAGCAGATTAAGGAGGCAGGCAAAGAAAAGTGAATGGCACTTTTTTCTTTTCTTATTACAAACTCTTTATTCTTGACTTGATTATGCTAATTCTCATTTAGCAAATGGAGTGCAAATTCTCCCAACCCTTGAAGTACAACTCTGAAAATGTAAATTTGTGCTCAGATTTCCTGGTATCCATCTACTATTTTTAACTGTCAGACTCCTGGGAAGTGAAAGCAGAAGGGTGTGAAATATCTGAAATAGTTGCAAGTGGGTGGACCAAAAACTAGCAATGTCCCAGTCCTTCAGCGTATCCAGTTCTGCTCTGAAGCAATCATTCAATCCCTAGAGGAAAACCCAAACAAACAAGTAAATTCCTGGATGTGACTCAGATATCCTGACATAGGATGTAAAGCCTTAGTTTTCTCCATGAAAAATAAATGGCAGAGAGCAGAAAGAGCTTGGCTGTAGAAGAAGAGGTTGGCTGTTTGAACCCCACCTGTGCCTCAGCCACAATCTGGGAATGCAGCAATGACACAGCAGCAGCAAGGGCTGCTCCTTGGCTCTGCCAGGACTGAGCGGAAGAAAGCCCCGGTGCTGTCTTCTCCAGCAATCAGGGGCTGTTGCAAGGGCACTACAGGCCTCCCTGCAGGTATGACTGAGGATAAGGAAAAGTTCTTACAGTCACAGTAGTACTGGAAAGTAAGTGCTTGATGAGAGCAAGAACAGATGGGAAGAGAGTTAAAAATGAGGGTGGGAGATACCTGGTGTGTGTTACAAGTGACTGTGCAGCTGGTTTGCAACAGAGTTTTGTGTAACACAGTGAACAAAAGACTGCAGGAAAGTGGGGGAGACAGAACATGGTGCAGGTGCTCCCTCCTCTGCGTGCTATCTTATAAATATCAAGAGCAAGAGCAAAGGGGAGACTGGAAGCACATCCTCCTACACATACACAGCCCAACAGAACAGTGTCCCCTTCCTGCTAGCAGCAGTGCATCCAACAAGGGCACGCTTTCCCCCTTTTTCATATTCTTTCTTATGACTAGGATTTGGAATGCAATGATGAGATGTAGAAAGTAGTATGGATAAAAAAAAGTTATTTATATTATACTGTTAAATACAAAGTGCAGGAAACCTCTGTTTGTCTGTTCACCAACTACATACTTCCCTATGAGAGCAACTCCAGACTCTTGAGATTGTGGAAAAGTCAGTGCTCAGGACTCACCTTTGTGATAGGAGCTTCTATGGTCATTGAGTGAATCCTTGCCATTGAAGAGTACCGTCGGGTCTGTAAACTTGGAGCTGCTGTTCAAGAGAGCCACAGACTATAAATCAGATGACAGCATTTAAAGAGCAGAAGGCTGGGGAACAGCACAACAGAATCCAGCCTCATGTTCCACTTCTGTATTTTCTCCTGCAGGTTCTTACTTTACTGTTTCATTTCTTGCTCTTTTGTTGACCTCCTTGGCAGCACTCCTTACTTTTACTATCAGATTTTCCATATGTCCTTCACATAGGAATGAAGCTGTACCTATTATGCTTCATGCCCAGTACCTGCCAGTTGCTCTTTGATTGCAGTGGGTCTCTGTCAGACATGGCTCCTCCTGTGAGTGTAAGTCCCTAATCTTGGTGATACAACTGGTCTCATGAAACCCATTCCTGCTTCCCATAAGCTGTCCTTCCCTCATTACATAGAGGGGCAGAAGATAATCTCTGCTACCACTGTCCCAGCCCCAGCAACCAGTCACAAATGGGATCAGGAGTAGAAGTACTGCTCTCAAGTAACCAGCAGCAATAAATCCCTTCATGTTCAACACTAATAAACCAAAAATACTGGTTCAGGAGCACAGGCTGAAGCTTTCTGAGGGAGGTGGCACTAACACTTCATCACACACTTTTAGAAGGCTTCTCCTATCCCTTGGCACAGCTACTCCTCTCTATGAAGGCACTCTGCACTGCCATGCATCATATAGTGATGCTGGTACTCGTGGCTGGGGCACTGTTTTGTAAATTAGAAGAAAGAAATTTTGCAGCAGTTATAAAAGGATGGAGTAATTTCTCTTTAATCAGCTATGAATCTGGTTCATCTTCTGCAGTTTTATTGCCTAGGCCAAGTCTGTTCTTTCTTTATTTGTAAATATATATATATTTATAATATTATGTATCAATATATAATAATTCTTGACTGTTTACTTTCTTACCATCACTACTTTGAGATGTTATTGACTTAACATCAACTGAGTCTTTCCTTCTGTTCTTGCATTTGTAGGAATTGGATTCTGTAAATACAAAACAAAAGCTTTAAAAATGCATCAAGTAAAACATCTACAAAGCTTCTTCCATCTAAAGTTATGAATATTTAATTAAATGATCTTAACAATACAACATAAGCAGGGGAAATACTGTAATCTCTGCACATCAGAACAAGGAACTCAGTGTCTATCAATGTAAAGCAACATGTCTGAAGTCACCTGGAAAGGTGTTTCACAAGGAAGTCAAGATGCCTTATGGAACAGGAGACTTGCTTCACCTAAGTTTAGCTGCCTAAAAGCAGCAGTCTTGCAGGCTGTTGATGTGTAAGGTGGTTATCAGAGAACCTGCTTCAGGAGAGATGTCTCAGGCAGGTGCGTTGAACCCCTCCTGCAAGGCCGTTTTGCTTCCCATCAGCCACTGAACAAGACTGAGTTTAACAGCCTAAAACTTTAGCCAAGTGAGGAAAGTCCCATCTCAGTCTACACTCTTCGAGCCGAAGCATAATTCAGACTCAGACAGCTTTTGCTTTTATTTGCAGTAATTTTTTGTACGCTGTGTTAAAGAAAAATCTAGCATGCTGAGAATGATTATTAACAAGCAGTTTGGTTGCTGTGAAAATTAACCATGCAAAAAGCTGTTATTCTTGAAACTGTTTGCTAAAGCAAGAGAAGTTATCACATCCAGCCAAATTCAAAAGCTGGATGAAATACCAGGAAAGACCCCCCCCCCCCAAAAAAAAATGTAAAATTTAATTTTCCTCCAAAACATTACACTCTTCAGTTCTCCCTTCTGTTGAAAAACAACAACCATGCATCTATTCACCTCTTTGCAAGACTGTCTGAAATGCCACTCAAGGGTCAGAGACCAGAGTAAGCTTTTAAAAGCAGATAAAACCATCTGAAGAATCAGAAATATCATGACATTGATATTCTTAACATAAAGACCATGTCACAAGACAGGATGTAGGCAGCCTGTCTTTAGCAAAATAAAATGTTAATATATGATTCTCCAGAATTAAAAGTCTGCCCATCTTAAAAATAACTGAAATACAGTTTCTGTCTTAATTCTCTTTTTTCTACTACAGATTTATAAGATAGCTTAGGTCTTCTTATTTTGCTGTAGTCCAAACTGGAGAAACTGAAAGCATTTTCCTCTGTTGACATCTAAGAGCAGGGCATAACTAATGCATGTTAAATCATTTTATTTGTTTATTTCATAGTACTCCTCTTAGAAACCCCATTCCTGCATTAACATTTGGATTAGTTTATCATAAGGCACTAGAGTGGGAGCAAGGATTTACACATAAACATAGCTGTGAGTGGCTATAGCTGACAACTCTCCTTGTGTTAAATGCCATCTAGCAAGTCAGAAATTTTGCACCTAAAAGCTACTCTCTACCATTCTACAATTTCATCTGTAAATATTTCAATGCCTAAATAAAAAATTTTTCTTCACCTAGTGAGCAGAATATCTCATCATCCAGATTTGGTACAAATCACACCATCACAAACAGCACAATACTCATGGATTACTTTTCTATGCTCATCACATACTGGTATATGCCCATGGATAAGTTCTGGAAATTTATTCTTGGAGCACAGCCATGGACCTCAGGGAAGGATAACCTACGTCACATGCTCTAAGTTTGTCTGTGTTCACTGCACCTTAGTCATCAACATGGCATCAATAGGATGGGGCTTCCAGGTCTTGTGTAAATCTGTCACAAAAATGAGCAAACCTAAAATATTAGTAAGCTAGCAAAATGTTTTAACCAGTAACAGTTGTCCTTTGGCTTAATTCATAGGCTTTCTCACCCTCTTGTTTGCAGGAAAGAAACAGTAAGAAGAAAATCTGCTTTTATTACAGGGACATGGGAGTAAGCAGTTTAAAATACTGTGGATCAGTTCTAATGGCAGCAACGGGAATGAGAGCAGCCAATTATATATTGTCTCTTCTTCCCCCTGCTCACTGCTGTTTGGCATCACAGAGCTCTCTGTTGTTTGTATGCATCCTGGGCTACTTGAAAAAGCAGGAGATGTTAAACAGTCATTGTTTAACATTTGTGGTATGTTATATCCTCTTCCCATGTGAAAATCAGAAGCTGCCTGACATTGCACAGCAACGTTGTCCATCTTTCAAAGCAGGAACAGCCTCAAGTGCCAGAAGGTAATAGTGCATGAGAACCTGTTCACTCATAGTAAGACGTCAGTGCTGCGTCTGGCTGAGATTACTGGAGTCACAAGCTTAAAATTGGCCTTTGGTGCCTCCTCCGTCAGGCAAAAGTGTTATTCCAAACACTACACAGCACTGGAAGAAGGGATTATCTATCCCCTTATGCTCCACACTTTTAGTCAAAAGCTGTCTGCAGAAGTCCATGAGAGCTGGAAAGTGCTGTCTGCAAGTAAGTAAACCCACCTGAGACACAGGGCAAGGGTTTTGCAGACATCCTGCAACAACTCACCACTGACGAACTGACTAGCTCAGGCCTGGACACCTCAGACAACTGTCTTCGCCCTGTGCTGGGGCCAAACCAGTGGCCTGCTGACAGGTCCTAAACTTGGAAACACTAGGGCAGGTGTGCTGGCACAAATCAGCACATTCCACATTTCAAACACAAAGGGGTGCCAAGGCACACCAGCCTCAGGATGAGACACAGTGTTTTAATACAATGAAGAGCAATGCATCCTAACTTCAAAGGCACAGCAAGAGCTCTGCACAGGAGACTGAATTATTGTTGATTGTATTATTATTGGTTATTGATTATGGATTATAAATGCAATTCATGGTGCAACATCAGTGGCAGCTGGCATCCGTCACTGACCATCAGCTCTGACTACTGACTGGACAGAGGGAAAGAACCCTGCCACGACCTCCAGCACAGCAGCATATAGAGGTAAAAGTATTCTAACCTGATTGAGAATTGTCTGCTGTGTACTTCTCTTCATGGTGACTCTTGTGGACCTGAAGATTGGAGTAAAATATGTATGTAAGGCAGAAGAATACAAAAATACTTAAACAGGCTACATTCAACACTGTTCTTATCCAGAATTTTCCATTCAGTTGTTTTTAAAAAGAAGGTGTATGGCAAAGACTCTTCTTTAGGTGCAGTTAGATGTAGAGAAGTAATATGAAAGGAAGCAGATATGTCATGCAGATAATTGCAGATACAATAGTGCTTTTTTATACTAAGTTCCTGTTTAATGCCTGTGGTTGCAAGAGAATGGATATTCTTCTTTGGTATTGTTTTATGTGCAAATTGCATATGAACCTGAAAGAATGAAATGCAAAAAATAAAAAAAATCCCAAAATATTAATTTTTGCACTTTAAAAAAACATTTTCTTAGTGCTATCTAAGCTAATTTTGCATGTATCCTTTCACAGGTCACTAATAAACTTGACTTCAGAAAACTCAGTTATAAAAACAACTCTCTGGCAAATGAGGGGTAGAGGTAGGTGTCATTTATCAGAACTTTATTTCCAAGTAATTTTTAATCATTCTCATGAATGAAGAAGTTAAACACAAAATCTTAATTATTTGTGCTTCTGAGAGAACTTCGGTAGCTCCAACAACAGGTATTCCAAGCTTTCTTAGAATTTACATAGGATATTTCCGTCATCTTAAAATTTACACATGTTGCTTGGACTACAATAACACAGATTAATATTCCTCTGCTTTTCCATTCTGCTCAGAAAAAAAAGCGGTCTCCAATTCATGGCAATTTAATACCTGCTAATCACTTCACCCTTTCCTTTGTTATGTGGTTACAAGAAAGTATTTTGCTGTTAATAGGAAACCTGAACAAAAATGTCAGTTCCTCAAGTCTTCCTTCTAAAATTAGCACATTACATCTTTCATTAGAGCTAGCAGAGACACTGAGGACTAAAAATAATGCATTACAGTTTTTATTTCAGTCACTAGAGAAGATAGACATACTCTCTGTATACACATACTCTGATACACATTCTCTTTACTGTCATTCTTGCAGACACTATCTTTTTTTCCTCTTTGCAGTGGAGGGGAGCAGGTAAAGAGGGTGAAAGGGATAGAGAAGAAAATGGAAAGGAAAAATCCCACAAAATTCAGATATGGTTTTCTGTAACGAAGAAAAAAAGAAAGAGGAGAGGGAAATCCTGTGCTCATGTTCCATATAAATTTTATTCAAGGGAACATAAGAAGTGACTCTTCCTCCAAAAATAAATTTTAAACACTTCTCTTGTAACCTGGCAAAAACTCAAAGAGAAATGATCCATACAGAGTAAGATTAAGGAATCTCGTCAGATATGGTGCAGTGACACAATGCATCTGAACTGCTTGTTCTGGTCCCAACCTGGAGCTTCTCTCAGAGCCAATGGATATATATCTCTGTCTACTGCACAGCTGGCAGAAACATTGGCACAGTCCTCCAAGTGCTCTCCTAAAAAAATAAACCCACTTTTCTGTTCTGAATACTTCTCTTCCCCTTCTGCAGGCATGTCCTGAAAGAGCCATGTAAGGTAAGTTATGAAGACAGTCACACAGTTAATCTTGGGTCAATATGTTCTTAAGAGGAGAAACAACACCTCTGTTTTAAATTTATGAATGTGCAAACACTGGACTCAATCCTGCCAGGTCTCAAATTGACAACAGCAGCATTAATAATTACCTAGGCTTCAGCACATGGAAATAGTCACATGAAAGTCAATCTCTATTCATAAATCTTCACTGTAAGAATGCTTAATACTCTCACATAAATTTTTTCTATGCATAAATCTAGCATGCTAAATTTTTGTATGTTATAAATCTGGCACAGAAATACATGAAAGTTTCTGCACAGTGATCCCTAATAATACTACGATATCCCTTACAAAAGCTGTCGGTAATGGCAAATATCTACTTTTGTTTAAGGTGAAACAATGCATAATATGTAAGGATGTTTCGAAGTCAACATACATTGTCTGAATGCTGAAATCCAGCCATTTAAAATTATGTCAATGCATTTGCATCAAAATTTGAATCATGACAGTTTTTACTGCTCTGTAACTAAATAAATAGTTTGTTTGATTTCCTTTTATCCTGCCATAAAGATTTATCTGTGGCTTGAAAAAGAACCTAATTTTTTTAGGGTAAAGAAATGTTCTACTGCTGCAAAGTATTCAGGCATGGATTTTAGGAATACTGCAGTGTCCAGTATCTCCTACAGGCAGGAGGTATTTCAACCACAGAAATGAAACAGAATAATTACATAGCTGTGTTGGATGTACCTTGTTTTTTCCCCAAGAGACCTTACATTTCCACACACCATGCTTTCTGTTAGGCTGTGGTCTTTAGCCTTTGTGGCAGACCTCTATATCTGTGGAGAACCTTTCGAAGGCCGTATTCCCTGGGATTACCAAATGTGTAAAGCTCCCCAGACTATCAAATTTGTGCTCAATTCACCAGTAACTGCTTATGAATGAATACTAAAAAGACATGAAGGGTGGTGCTTTCCATCAGTGCCACCAGTACAGAGAATATAAATGTCACCTTGGACACAAGTTGTCAGATAAAATTTGTTTCATAAGTTCCCTTGTTCTCATCAACAAGGAGGGGCTGATAGGGCAGGGGAAGTTCAAGGACAACCTGGGCGTCAGCAACCATGAAACGGAGAAGTTCAAGGTCAGGACAGTGAGGAGGGCACACAGCAAGCTCACTGCCCTGGACTTTGGGAGAGCAGACTTTGGCCTCTGCTTGGAAGAGTTCCATGGGATAAAGCCATGGAAGGAAGAGAGGCCCAAGAAAGCTGGTTAATATTCAGAGATCATCTCTTCCAAGCTCAAGAGTGATGCATCCCAACAAAGAAAAGTCAGGCAGAAATGCCAGGAGGCCTATATGGATGAACAAAATACTCATGATAAACTCAAAGACAAGAAAGAAGCCTACTGAAGGTGGAAGCAAGGACAGGTAGCCTGGGAAGAATTCAGAAAGTGTCTGAGCAGCCAGGGATCAGGTTAGGAAAGCTGAAACCCTGATAGAATTAAATCTGGCCAGGGATGTCAAGAGCAACAAGAAAAGCTGTTATAGGTACGTTGGTGAATAGAAGAAAGACTAGGGAAAATGTGAGCCCTTTTTGGAAGGCAACAGGATACCTGGTTACCCAGGATGTGGAGAAGCTGAGGTACTCAGTGATATTTTTGCTTTGGTCTTCACTGGCAAGTGCTCCAGCCACACTGCCCAAGTCACAAGAGGTAGAGGCAGGGACGGGGAGAATGAAAAACTAACCACTGTAGGAGAACAGGTTTGAGAACATTTAAGGAACCTGAAGGTGCATAAGTGCACAGGACCTTATGGGCATCCATGGGTCCTGAGGGAGTTGGTGGAAGAAGTGGCTAAGTCACTGTCCATTATATTGGAGATGTCATGGCAGCCCAGTGAAGTTCCTAGTGACTGGAAAGGGGGAAACTTAAACCCTTATTTCTAAATATAAAAAAAAAAAAAAGAAGACCTGGGGAATTACAGGCCAATCAGTCTCATCTCTGTGCCCTGTAAGTCATGGAGCGGATCTTCCTGGAAACTATGCTAAGGCAGAAGGAAAATAAGGAGGTGATGGTGACAGCCAGCACAGCTTCATTAAGGACAAATCATACCTGACAGAATTGGTGGTTTCCTACAATAGGGTTACGGCATTGGTGGATGAGGGGATGTCGTCTAACTGGGCTTATGCAAAGCATAATACTTCCTTGCACATCCTTGACTCTAAAATAGAGAGACCTGGATTTGATAAGTGGACCACTCAGTGGATAAGGAATTGACTGACTGGTCCCACTGAAAGAGTTGTGGTCAATGGCTCAGTGTCCATATGGAGAGGAGTGAGGAGTGGTGCCCCTCAAGGGTCTGTATTAGGACCAGTATTATTTAACATCTTTGTCAGGGACATGGACAGTGGGATCAGGTGTCCTGCACCATCAGGACACCAAGCTTTGTGGGGTGGTTGACACGCTGGATGGGCCCCAGCATAAGAAAGACATGAACCTGTTGGAGGAGGGCCAGAGGAGGGCACAGAGGTCACCAGAGGGCTGCAGCACCTCTCCCATGTGGAAAAGATGAGAGAGCTGGGTTTATTCAGCCTGGAGAAGAAGTGGCTTCGGGGAGACCTTTCAGTACCTAAAGGGGCCTGCAAGAGAACTGGAGAGGGGCTTTTCAAGGGTGTCTAGTGATAGGACAAGGAGGGACAGCTTCAAACAGAAAGATGGCAGGTTTAGATCAGGTATCAGGAAGAAATTTTTTACTGTCAGAGTGATGAGGCACTGGCACAGGTTGCCCAGGGAGGTTGTAAATGCCCCATCCCTGGAAGTGTTCAAGGTTAGGTTGGATGGGGCTTTGACCAACTTGGTCTAGTGGAAGGTGTCCCCTGTGGCAAGGGGCTTGGAACTAGGTGATCGTTAAGGTCCCTTTCAAGATAAATTAATCTGTGATTCTTACTGGCTTAGGCAGTCCAATAAACTGGGCAAAGAAAACCAGAAAAGGACTTTTTTCCATATTCCAATGAACTGGGCAAAGAAAACCAGAAAAGGAATTTTTCTATACGCCTACTGCTGTTTTTTACAAAAGGCTGCAAATTTGTAATTGTGTTATACTCATAATCTTGCAAAAAGAGTACAGTATCATATGTACACTTCTCTGTACCAGTCTTTCAGCTGTGTTTTTTTAAAGAAAAAAAGATCTAATTGTATCTCACTTTCAAATCAAAGCAACTATAAATGAAAAAACAATGAAGAGCTTTAAACAATGAATTAAAGAGAATACATTAGAATACATAACTTTATCGCTGCTTCTGTTACAAAACTCAGTTGCACTCTAGCCTGAGATTTTAAAAAATACTGTGACTGTAACTACTTTGCTGCTAATACTAAAAACCATGGTTAATTCAAAGATGAGGTCAGTTTACAGTATTATGAGTCTTACTTTTCAGTGATAAACCTTCAAAGTTCTTCCAAAAGTTATGCAGTTTTCTTCCTTGACTACCTGCCTCCACAAAACTTATGCAAGGAGGATAGTTTCAGTGGGTAAATTTTACAGACTACCACCTATGAAATTCTTCCAGTAGCAGCGGTATTCCAATAATGTGTTAATATATTCAGTATTGTTCTTCTAAAGAAGGGACAACTAGACATACTTGTGACTTTCTAAATACTTTTTCTGCATAAGTGTCTTTACCTATATGAGGTGTAAAAGCACATAAAAGTCTAAATAAGATACATAACCCCTTCCAGAAACAATATGGAAACATATCATGTTTCCCTAGCACATCCTTGGTCTAAAATGTTGCCAGCCACTTCCTATTTCACCCTTACAGACCACAAGCTAAAGACAGATTTCACTCTTTGCTCACAGAATTTCAGACTTCTTTACAGGGCACGTACTAGAGTATTTTTGGGGCAAAGCATGTGATATGATCATTTGCCTCAGACATTGTCAGTGGGTGGACACCAGGAGCAGATTACAGCAAACAGCTCCCCATACGACCAGCTTGTTGCAGGACCAGCTGGTGTGGATGTGTGCCTGGATTGCAGAGACCTGGGTCAGCTGCTGCTGCTGGTTTACTTGGGTTATGGCTTGAATGACACCCCTCCAGAACACTTGTTCTAATGAGTGTGTGAAGTCTCAGGTGCTGCATGAAGGCTACACTTTATTTAAGAACAACATATGTGCAAGCCTTGCTGAAGTTTTCTTGCTTGCTCCAACAATCAATGAGAATCTCATTGTAAATATAGATTACATCTGCTTGCAAAAATTGATAAGCCAAAATATATTATTTTACTAAAAGCTATGAAAATTATCACATGAAAGAAATACAATACCTGTTTGTTGTTTTCGTTGGTACAATGCAGCCTTTTGAGGGACACAAAGTGTCTTATTTTCCTAGCAACAGAAATAATCACTTGTTACCATATCAAATGGTAAAGAGAGAAGTGAAGTGATACACTGCTATTTTCTATAGCAGAGATCTCCATGCCCTCAGGAAACCAGATACCAAACCCAACACCAGCGAGATGACTGGGTGACCAGCACTTCTTCAGCATTACAGTGATGTTTTTGTTCCAGGACACCTGATCTTTTTGCTCCTTCAGGAATTCTCCTGCACATCTGGGAGCTGAATTTGGCAATGTGCCGATTCTACATTGCAAAGGTGGGAGCATGTGCAAGCACACACACAGACAAGGGGATTGCCCAGCTGCTAAATACATGGAGGTTCATGCCAAACTTACAGATTCAGAAAGCAGAAAGAAGGCCCTAAAAACCAGAAAGCAGATATGTTCTGGACAAGTTAGTTACCCTCCTTGACCTATCACAGGTGTTATCTTCACATGCTGCTGGATACTGTCTCCTGATTTTCTTCTTGCGTAGTAAACTCCTTGCCATTCCTAAGGAAACACACACAACAGAGACAGCATCTAAGAATATATAGCTTGCAGTCAAATCTTCATTTATTATTGCATAATCCTTACATAGTAAATAGTTACATTTTATTTCATGGTTGTCTTTTCTAAAATAGTATAAAAATTATTACTAGAGAATAGTACCTTTAACAGTCATTTGCTAACATAAGGACAGGGTAACTATGTTTCTCTTATGAGAGTGCATGCAACTTTTACAAAGAACTTCAGGAATCATCTACTTAGAGGGGTTACAAACATTCTTGCTAGGTACTACCGTAAGAGCAGTGGTTGCAACACATCCAGACGGTACCTCCCTTACGACCAGCAGAAGCAAACTGTACTGAGCACCATTCAGCTTTGAAGTTGTCGGTTGCCAAGAAATATGTATGCTAAATTTCAAAAGTCCTTAACCTAAAGATGTCCTTCAACTAACCTCAGAGAAGAAATATTTTTAAGGAGAGAACTACATGGCAGCAGAGTAGTATTAAAATGGAAAATGGGTGGAAGATACCTTTGAGTAGGCAGTGTGAGCTGCTGGGCAGCCCATATAAATGAGGAGGAGCACAGCAGGAGTGGCCTGCAGGTCAACTGCAAACAACTCCAGACAGTGACTCCAGTTCAGATCATTGCTGGAAGTGATTCAAAGGTTCAAGAACTCCCCAAAGTTCTTGAAGCAGAATGTGAGACAGGGAAAGGTACTTCTGCAACCTGTGGGAGATGGGATAAGAGACTGTTGCTTGGATTAGGGGAACATATTGCCAGGCCCATCACCACAACAACAGGAGTTCACAGGGCTCTGCAGATAGAATTCTAACTTTAGTTAGAAAAACAAACCCCACTGAGTGCCAATACTTTTTGGTGCTTCAAGTATGCAGTCAGTGAAGGCTCTGCAGTTTAACAGAGCAGTTAAACCTTTGGTTGGATGATTCAGCCACCTGAGAGACTGACTGAGGGACAAACTGTTACATTCCAACTAACAAAAACTCCATGGGCTATAAGCAAAATAGAAACAGAGAAAACATTCTGATACTGATCTTAAGCCAACAGATCAATAGGAGTTCAGTCAGATCCTAAAAGCAAAGCTAATGAAATCTGTAGTCACTTGTCTGTGACATGGGCTGTTGTGCTCCTTAGACATCTAAGGAGCAGAATTGTGGTCTTATATGTACACTCATGAAGAACACACCTTGTGTTCTTAAACCTAGAGTGATAAAAAACAATGCAGAATATATAAATATATAAATAAAAAATAAAGCAGAATCTATAGCAATGAGATTGTTTTATTTGCTTACCTTTCCTTTTTTAATGAATGTGTTTATGTTGTCTAAAAGATCTGCGCAGTTTTTATCGCTTTTAGGCAGTTCAGTAAGTTCCTTGCCAATAAGCTCTCCCTTGCAGTATCCCATCATCTGTTCAAAGGCTGGGTTAACATACTGCCAAGACAAAAGTACCTTATGTCAGTATCTAAAGAAATGTACTTAAAGGATAATTACTCACGTTTAACTATCAAAGTGTGACAAGTTATATGGCTAAAACCACAACCACACATCCCTACAATTAGGTGTTTCTCATATAAAAATACTATGTGATGGTGAAACATTTTATTCAAGTAAGAAGCTGAACACAGCAAGCGATATGTAACCTCCTATCAGAAAGTACAGAAAGAGAATAATACAGGTTTTACCATAGACAACATTACTTTACTGAAAATTATAATCTAAATACAGTTACTGAAGGAAAAGTCTTATTCAGCAGGCGTCAGTGTGCATCATCCAAAAATTAGGCACTTAATTCCACAAGGTTTTCTAACGGGCAACAAAACTAAAATACTGAAACAGAACAGGAACTACTGTGCAAAGATCTCTTTGGAGTTCTTCTTTTCCAATTCTATAAAATAGTTAAAAGTTTCCCGCCCTACCTGAATGACATGATCTTCGCTGGTTATTTCTACAGCTTCCTGACAATGGTCTAATGCTGTGAACACTGCATTACAAGCTCTGAAATTAGCAAAGGATTAGCACATTAGTTTTATTGTTAGAACATTTTGTTCACTATAAATACGTTATGAAATTGTACTTATCGGTAGATGAATCACAAAGTTGCAGTTGTTTTGACTAAACCGTGTCACTATCTTCAGTATGACTTTTTTCAGAAATCCAGCCTCAGACAGCCTTGTTAACATGCTTTTACTGCAGATCACATTGTAAAAGTGCTTATAGGCACTGCAGCATCTTAATAGTGTATTTTTATCTACATACATGCTTTGAACAGCAGAAACCAACAATTAGCAGTAAAACTAACACGCTACTGTTACATCAGAAAGTTATGTGATCATTAAAGATTGGGAACACAAAAATCATCATAGCAGATATATACAAAGTTTTCAATAAGCAAATAGATTGGCACTGTCAAAGAAGTTGTAATACAACATAGTTAAAGGAAACAATCTAAGCCATCTCAAAGTTCTAGTCCAAAAAATGTCAATTTTCCTGCTCTCAAATAATAATGCAATGACTTGATTTCCATACATCCTGATTTTTAAGGGCCAAAATGATCTTTATTACCCATTTTTTTTCAGGGCTATCCTTGAACTAATGCATGAAAACAATCTATTTGCTACAAAATTTAAGTTGCTTAAATTATGATTTACACAAATGGCCTTAACATTAATATAGGCTCGTAATGCTAAGGAAAAAAAGTATATCTTATAGAATCACAGGATGGTTTGGATTGAAAGGGACCTGAAAAAAGATCTCTTTCCAACCCCGCTGCCATAGGCAGGGAAAGTGCATACTAAAAGAAACAACCTGGCATAGTTGCTTTGATAGATGTCAGTATTTCATCTTTGATTTGGACTAAAGACAAACTAATTACCTTTTATATGCCTCTCACTGCAGGGAGCAAAAATGCATGAACATTCTTATATACAGTTATTACTTAAAAGAAACATCTTGCTCCAAGACTGCATAGTAGAGTTTGAGTTAGTACCAGTGACTAGAGAACTAAGAAATACAGGATGTTTCTACTTCCGCTTATCATGGAATTAACTCTAACCCAAATAGAATGCATGAAGAGGTGTACACAGAAAGACTGCCATGTAGCCACACTGATGAAGATTTCTAGACAAAAAGTGATATCCAGAAGATGACAGCAGTATTTCAATTCATATAATTAAAGGAGCTTTTACAAATGATTTTCTAGCAATCCAAGCTGGTTCCCAAGTGTGATTTTGTGCTGTGTGAAGTAACTGATTTATCTCAGTGACAGATTTATCTCAGTGACAGCTGCAAACAAATGTCATTACAAATGTAAACTTTCTGTATGAAAACATACAGGTATGTTTTCACTATTCAAGCCTTAGTGTTTTCATTTGATCTGGCAGTCAAGCCAGCAAAATTACAAGCCCATATCCTCTTTGATTGACACACAGATGTCCAACCAATTTTCAAACCAGAAGCAACAATGCGGAGAAGCAGAGTCCCTGTTAGGAAGGAAAGACATTTCTGACTACTGACACGACCGTATCTATTTTCTTGGGCTGGTTCTACTCTTTCACCATGTTTCTCTTGTGTCTGAACACTTGGAATATCCCAGGTTTAATTCCATAGACTAACTTCTGCATTCTCTTCCCTCTCACTGTAGAGAAGACCTACAGACCAGCAACAAGTGGGACAGACATACAGTACAACATATTTTTACCCACTTAATTAAACCACGAATGAAAAAAAAAAAGGTGACTAAATAGCATTTCCAAATACCAGTTCTGTTTAGTTTTTAATGGCACCTGCCAAATAAGGCAGAGGTAGGGATGAGATATCAGCTTTTCCAGGTTACAAATACAGCTTTTCAGAAAGTTTACCTTTTAAAATGCTACCTTATACCCCCCGATTTTAGTACAAAAGTTGCTTGTATTACTTGTGCTTGTTAGATGACAAGGTTTAGCTGCTTAGCTAGACCTATATTGGGTTAGCTATATTGGGCCTACATCTGTTAAACTCTTTACTTAATTATTCTGGGACTGCATCTGGTAGTGGCAGTAGCAAACCCAAAGATACCACCTTTTCTTTCCATAGTATTTTACAGTGCTGCCAAAGGTTCCCAGAAGAGTCATGTTCAGAGGTGATGTGGATACATATAAATCCACAAAAATATATATAATGTTTATTATCAATATACAAAAGACATGATAACACAGGATGAATTTTATATAATATTATTTACATAAATTAAAATGAAGTAGGCTCACAGTTTATGTAACTCCATACAAAAGAGCAAGAGCAAGCAGAATTGCTGCTGTTTCCATAAACAATATGGATGAAAGAACTGTCAGTAGATGAAATGCCATTGGGGACTCACATTGTTTCCTTCCAATTTTAATGAACTTTAATGGCTGTAAATGAACTTATGGAAAAATATGATAGCCAATATGAATCATGCTCCCTGGCTTGGAGTTCTAATTATTTGCATTCGTATTTGATACTACTCATGTAGAGATGCACAAAATGTATTTGGATCTTGTTCTTGAAATAAAATGTGAAATACAAGTGTTGTGTGTTTAAATGACAGCTTAATCTTTCCATATAAAATTGATGTTTCTGATCTACGCTGACTTCATTCAGAAGATGGTTATTTAATCTTGCATTTGCAACTAACAACGAACCAAGTCAGGACCACCACAACTAATAATTAACTGCTAAAATTTAACTTCTAAAATGTCATAGCTCCTTTATTCTCCTGCTGAGTTTTGGAAAACAACTGTTAAAATGGTGTAAGCCCAGATTAGATTTTTTCCCTGGAAATTTTATTATAATTGCATTCTGCATGCACGAACACACAATCACTTGAAAATATGAAGTCACTTAGGGATCAGTTTGCAAAGAAAATCTTCAAAAATCTATTTCTTAAACAGAGCCACTGAAACCTGTGGAAAAATGGTAGTATTTTCTGTTACTGGAATTTAAGACACAGAGAATGACCCCTGCTCTGCATTACACTCAACTTCAAGGGCTTTTTCTTTCATGTACTTGCATTGCAAAAGTATCTACATGCATTCATAAGCAACTATATTAAATATAAAATTAATCACATGTAGGAAAAAGTGATAAGAGAATGAAAGTAATTTATTTTCTCATTATGATTAAAAAACTGTGCTCCTGACCCACCAAGTCTTGCCCAAGCAAGAAAATAATCAAGATTGCATTCAGCTCAAGCTATTAAATATAAAATCTTAGACACACAAGATCAAGAATGACTTTGTGAAGTTCTACCATCATGTAAATTCACAGTTTTCTGACCAAGCTTTCTCAGGCTACCAGTTACTAAGACACTTAAGTTTGTCCTTTACAAAATAACAGAAGGAGAAAATACAAAAGTATATTAGTTAACATGCACATGCAAAACACACATATGCATAGCTGGGAAGAAACAGGAAGCAACCTGATATAGTTGCTTAGATCAAGAGGTTGATGTTTGCAGTTTCTTACACTTCTACATACCGTAATTTGAACTGAGATCGCACTTCCCCATGTTCTATTTGAACCAGTTCATTGTAACAAGCAGTTACGCTGCTGTTCTCCATGAATTGCTGGAAAACAAATCAAGAGTGCATGAAATAGATTGGAATGGTTTTAAACTGTTATTTCTGTTCCTGCATTTAAAACTCTGACCTTATAAAGAGAGCTGGTGTGAGGCCAGCAAAGGGCCACAAGGGTGATTAAGCACCTCTTCTCTGGGGAAAGGCTGAGAGAGCTGGGACTGTTCAGCCTGGATGGGACTGTTCAGCCTGGAGAACAGAAGGCTGAACTGGGGAACTCATCAAGGTACATAAATGTCTGAAGAGTGATTGTAAGAGGACAGAGCCAGCCTCTTTCCAGTGGTGCCCAGTGACAGGACCAGAGGCAACAGGCACAAACAGAAGCAGATGAGATTACCTCTGAATATCAGGCAACACTTTTTTTTTTACTGTGAGGGTGACCAAGCACTGGCATAGGTTGCCCAGGGAGATTTGGAGATCTTCAAAAGCTGTTTGGCATGGTCCTGGGCAACCTACCTCAGGTGTCTCTACTTCAGTAGGGAGATTGGGTAAGATGACCCCCCAAGGACCCTTCCAACCTCAACCATCTTGTGATTCTGTAGAAATAAGCTTTTGTTGTACCTTTTGTGTTGAATAATCATCTGTTCCTCAGGAATGAGTTCCTAGTTTTTAAGACAACATGGCTATCTAAGTACAAAACAAGTATAAAAATACGCTAAAACCTCAACTGTGGATTTTTCCATTTGGTTCTAGCAACCCAGTTAGAAAAAGAAAATCTAAAAAAAACCCCAAAACAGTCTTACACAAAACCAGTATTGCCTTGATGTTTCATTTGGAACATCTATCCTTAATTCAGACTGGAAATGGAAAACCTTAGAGACATAAAACATTCATGCTAAAAAATAAAGAGAAAAAAAAATTATTTGGCTTTTTTTTCTAAGCAAATATTGTAGCTAAAGCTCAGAAGTGACTTTGATTCACAAGTAATCTCACTGAGCTGTCAATGTGAATTCAGAAGTGCAGAAAAGCGTGTAATGTAAGGAGCGTGCTAACAACAGTGAACAAACTTTTACTCCAGACAGGAGAGATCTTGTCCTATCTTTGTCAGGCACAGGTAGTAATCTAAAAGGTCTTGTGCTTGATCCTGCTGAAATGAGAATTTTTACGTTGCTACAAAAGAAGTAGATTCTTTGACTTAAAATAAAGTTTATTGATGATCACGTACACTGACTTTAGTTACCACATGAAATACCCTGTGTTGTCACTAGTTCTCATGGCACAGCTGCATGCAGAGTCAAGAGGTAGCATGCAAACCTCCAAGGAACAAAAGATAGCTTTTAAGAAATCTGTGCTTCTCTCCTGTATAAAAACTGTGGGGACCAATGGCTTAATTCCAAGTTTTAAGCAAAACGTAAAAAAATAAAATTAAAAACAACTGTCAGCATGGGTCTGTTTCACTCCTTAATGCAAAGATCTTAACGTATTTCTGTAACTCTCACTTCACACACTAAGGGAAAACAAAACACACAGTATCAAGTTGGCAGAAGCAAAGGTACAAATAGCATTGTGTTTTTGCATAACAAACTGTCTGCAAACAAACTTCTCTTCTATAGCACTGTAGATTTAGATTTTCAGTTTTAGGGTGCTCTTTTAAATATTCAATTTTGTGCTAAATTTAAAACAATATAAGAACAAATCTATCAATAATATAAAATTTATAATTGATGGCAATTTTATTTTATAAACTAGACTTACTAGAATATATTAAGTCTCTTTATAAACAGCTTTTTAAAGCAGTGCAGTTTACTGACAAAATTAAACCACTGCTGTTTACTGACAAAACTCTTGGCACAAATCTTTGGCTAAGAACCAAGAACTGCAGCTTACTGAAGTGCTAAACCTGCTCTTAAGTGTTGTATAGTCTTCTGCAGATGTACAGAATCAGTTTATTTAAGTTTACAGTGCTGATGCCATTCATTCGCTGGCTGACTCAAAGCAAAGAAATCAATTGGGACCTGAAAATAGCAGGAAACATTTCCTTTTTTTTATCTCTGCCCCTAATATGACACAAGAAAAGGAAGATCTATTAACTCTCAAATATTACAGGCAGACAGCAACAGTTTATTTTTAAAAAGTTTCATATTTATACAGTATATTTTCATTTAACTAACATATACCCTTAAATTATTTTTTACTTCATTATAATTGGATTCCATTGTTGCTCTATACAGAACTTCACACAAGCCACTGGAATCATTAGCTAGTAGGAGTGCATTATTCTTCCTGCTTAGCAATTGGTACTAGGTTTAACATTAAAGACTTCTTTTATTCCAATCCAGAGAGTTTTAATAGTATCTGGTCAATGAGAATCAACATTTATTTAGGAAAAAAAGTTCAAAATACAAGACAAGACTGTAATTCAATAATTGCAAACATTCAGATCCCCTGTTTGCTGATTTAAATCATAGCTAAAAATCAGTCAGGAAGCTAAATCACTTATTCAAATTAGTCCATCCTAAGTAGGCCACCACTGTTAGATTTATGAGGTTGAGAGGAAAAAAAAATCAGCATAATTAATATACTGGACTAACAACAGCATTAATACACAAACGCAAAAGCGGTTAATTATATGGGGGAAAATCAGAAGATGCAATAAAATAGACTTTCTTGAGAAGGAGGAAGAAAAAGCAGAAATAAGTAAACAAGAAAAAAATATTATTTAAACGGGTATGATTTTCCAAAAATAAATTTCTTTTTTGCTCCAGAGGAAGAGATTCCCTGCAAATACCATCTCTCTTGAAGAAAGGTATTTTTAAATCTTTGTGTGGGGCAGTTTCATGTGTTAATGGATTTAGTCCTTTCTGATCCCTGTCTATCCAAGCAGAAATAGTTCCTATGTCTATACTACTGCAAAAATGGAATGTTTGACATCAGATGTGTTTTAAAGTCTTGAAAGTAATTCCAATAGGGAATTATTATATTACACAAGTTCTCTGATAAATTTGGGACAGCAAGAGGGAATGATTAGAGCACCTGTCAGGTACAAAAAGATTTTATTTTCCTAGGCAGACAGTGTGCCACTGGAATGTGTCTCAGTGCTGCAGAGTATCTCCTCTGTTTTTACTCAGTGCTACACCTACAGTTATAATCTAGCTCATGAAACATTGCCCTGCATAATTTTAAAATGAAACACTAGAACTGAGAAGTAATGAAGTTTTCTTTGAAAACTATTAAAGCTTTTATTTTTTTTATTTTTTTTTTTTTGAGAGAAAGAGATCACTAGAAAGTACTGGCATTCTTGAGCTGACCTTTCTCTTAGATTCACCTTTTCCAATTTTCAGAGTGTCTATGTGCTTTAGAAAGGCTTTGGCCTTCAAATCAATTGCCCCCACAATACCCTGGCAGGAGACGCAAGACTTAGTACCTCTTTTTATTTTGAGATGATCTGAAAATGGTAATTCTGGTGCGTGTTCTGCTATGTAAACAAACTTGGGCTGAATGTGAGTTAGCTCAGATACTGGATATCTGAGCATCTGAGCACGAGATTCTACCTGAGTTAATTCCACTCCTTCTCTGATATTCCTTACTACAATTCATTGTCCTAACTACATGTATATTTAGGACAATATATAGTTAATTCTCTCTAACTACAGTGTCCACTGATGCACTTCTGTTGCCTAAGTACATAACTCCTTATGAACTTAAATAATACCGCTGATTTATAAAATAGCAACATAACATTCATGCCCATCCAAAGCCATTCACACAAAGATTAGAAGAGGGTAAGAAACCTAGATATTCAGAGCTGAGAACTCCTGCTTTTCTGCTCTCTCCTACAAAGATGTTTTGAGAAACAGTATGAATAGTTATCTTTACTTCTGCTGCCTGTACAGGAGAGCTTCTAACTCTGTCCTGAGAAGAACTAGTGCAAACCAAGACAACAGACCTCATGGGAAAAAAAATAAATTCTTCTTCACATCAGGAGCTGGACCAGGTTTGTAGTCCCACTGGAAGAGGAATCCCAGCAGTCTGAGACATGCAGAGATGTTGGGGTGACTAGTCAGCATGCTGCAATATGCAGCACATGTTCATCAGTCTCCCATCATTGTTTTTTAATGCAGTCATAAACAAAACCCACTCACTGCCCAGTCAGACCACAAGAAATTAATTTCAGTACTCTTGCTATTCTGAAAGGATTAGCTACATCACAAAGTCTCTTATTTCACATGCTTCTGGAATACACTGTTGAAAAGAAAAGAATACCAAATCAACTGTCACAGGTTTCTTATCAATAAATTTTTGACAGAAGAGGATGTATAGTTTTCAGTTTGAGGAAGTAGAAGTGTCTGTAATTTATGAAGTTACTATATGGTTTCTATATTACATGGGCAAATTATACTTACCCTATCAAAGCCTGCATCAAGAAGGGGAAGAACAGAAGTCTCTTCTTGGTCAGCAGATCTGTGAAACAAAATCACAGAATCATAGAATCATTCAGGTTGGAAAAAACTGTTAAGATCATCAAGTCCAACCTTTAACCCTGCACTGCCAAGTTCACCACTAAACCATGTCCCAAGTACCACATCTACATGTCCTCTAAGTATCTCCAGGGCTGGTGATTTCTGGGCAGCCTGATCCAATTCTTTACAATCCTTTCAGTGAAGAAATTTTTCATAATATCCAATCTAAACCTCCCTTGGCACAACTTGAGGCTATTTCCTCTTGTCAGATCCCGTACTATTTGAGACAAAAGACTGAGCCTCACCCCGCTACAACCTCCTTTCAGGTGGCTGTAGGGAGCAATAAGGTCCCCGCTCCAAGTCTCCTTTTCTCCAGACTAAACACCCCCAGCTCCTTCAGCCACTCCTCATATGACACATGCTCCAGCCCCTTCCCCAGCTCTGCTCTTCTCTGGACTCACTCCAGCACCTCAATGTCCTTCTTGAATTGAGGGGCTCAGAGCTGGACACAGGATTTGAGATGTGGCCTCACCAGTGCCAAGTGCAGGGGAGGACCACTTCTCTGGTCCTGCTGACTGTGCTATTTCTGATACAGGCCAGGATACCATTGGCTTTCTTGGCCACCTGGGCAATGCTGGCTCATGTTCAGCTGCTGTTTAACCAGCACCCATGGGGGTGTCCTTTTCTGCTGGTACACTTTCCAGCCACTCCTCCCCCTGCCTGTGGTGCTGTTGTGACCCAAGGGCAGGACCCAGCACTTGGCCTTGTTGAACCTCATACCACTGGCCTCAGTCCATCAATCCAGCCTGTCCAGATCCCTCTGTGGACCCTTCCTACTCTCCAGCAGATCAACACTTCCACTCAATTCTGTGTCATCTGCAGAATGACTGAGGGCGCATTCAATCCCCTCATCCAGATCATCAGTACAGACATTAAACACGACCGGTGTATTGTATGGTCACACAACATTAAAGAATTAGATGGTATAAATTTGACAAATTATCTAAACATAACAAACTCAGTGAGAACAGTTTTGCATAAAATACATACATAAAATCATACTATTACAGAAGTTGATGCTACAGTCTTCTTTTATAGGTATCTGCAGCTATTACTACAACCTGATAGTTATTCCTACAGCAAACCTGACAGATCCTCTACAGAAGTCCTGTGTCTCTTCACAGTCAGGGGATTCCAAAAAGGAAGAGAATAAAAGACATCCTGAGATATCCTCTTAGAAATAATCTCAAAAAAAAGTTATTAAGAAAAAGGTAAAGCAAGTTGTAAAATCTTGCTCAGTGGTAAATTTAGTCTATTTTTTAATCTTGACAGGAATAGTTCTCTTGTCACTCTATTTCCTAATATTTTAACTGATCTAGGAAATTATTAAAATGACAATGGATTCAGTAGAGTGTAGAGTTCTAATCAGGGTGTCTGAAGGTATTTGATGAAGATGTATTTAAGTCAGTAAGAACTCTCCCTGAACAGGTGGAGTATGAATTACTGAATAAGGATTTCAGGATAACATTCTGGTAATTATATCATAAACAGGATTGAATTTTGCTCCATTACCTCGTTCCCTAAAAAACACAATTGACTGAGTTATTTCCTTTAGAAAGTAATATACAGCTTTCTGGTTTTGGTTTGGATTTTTTTTTTCTTTTAGAAACTAACATATATCTTTCTAATTTTCTTAGAATACAAACCATTCTGAAGCTGATAGGGATAATACTAGTGTGCATGAAAGGAAAGTTATCAAATAAAACATAAAACATCACTATCCCATTTCACGTGAAAATTATTAAACTTACTCTGTTAAACTTGTTAGTAGATGCTTTCTGTTATTAGATAACTATTACAAATAATATTCTTATAAAGTAAAATCAAAATCTCTCACAAACCAGTAATACTTACATGCGTGGAACCACAGCAAGTATTACAGTATGCTCTGATGGCTCTACAGCACGAATAGACCTGAGGAAACAAAAATTTCTCAGCTACACTCACTGCTTTCTCAATGTTACTCTGAGTATCTTTATTGAAAATATAAATGAAACCATGACTGAAAAACACCATTGAGGCTAGAAAACAGGATATTGCACTGCCAAACCTACCTATCCCCACCTAGACAAACCATTTTCATTTTGCTGCTAGATTCCTTTTGCTCTATCCAGTGCAGAAGGCAAGAGCTCCAAAAACACATAGCACAAACAGCAGTTTTTCAAACCCACTCTTTGTTTGCCCTGTGTACTCAACTTATTTGGGGCAGACTGCCCTGAATGTGTGAGTTGAGAAATCCAGCACATTTTCAAAACCCGCTAGCTCATTCAAACAAGAATCTCTACCACTTCTCATATTTACCACTGTCCTTCTAGACATTTTAAAATTTTCTTTAGAGGGTGAGAAGTGCTTTTGAGGTACGCAAGTAAGAAAAGTGGGTATAGCAAATTATGACAGACTATAATTTATTAATTGCTGAATAAATAGAATTTAGCACCTTGCATAGAATTGGGAAACTGAAAAAAAAAAAAATTACAACCAATTACCAGAACACTCCATTAACTTTTTACAGGTGAAAAGTAAGTTTTTCACTCATATCACACTGTCCTGAATAAATGGTCTTTATTTATGTTGGTCTTTCAGAAAAACTTACATCAGCATGAATATTTGAGCATTAAAATGCCCCTTGTCATAAACATGGCAAATTTCAGGTCATGGTAGACTAGAAGTACAGTATGGTGCAAAATGTATTCTTTAGCTGAAACACTGTATTTTAGCAAAGCATCCCAATACTAAGCACTTAAAAGTGCACAAATGCTGCTTAGATAGAATCATGTGGACCAGAGGAGTGATGTGAAGTTCTGCAGAGAACTGGCAGTGCCTGACCTAGTGGGTAAACATGCTCCTTTGAAGGCTGCAGCTTCAGACTTTGCTGTAGCAGTAAGTCAGGAAAAAAACAGACACAGATAGAAGGGAGTAATTTCACAACAGCTCTGGCTTATGCTCTGAAGCCCATGACCTAAAGACAATTCTGCAATTCATCTTTGCCAAAAGTGTAGTTGTCATATTGTTATTCTCTTACAGATGTATGCAAACCTTCTAGTCTCAGTTCCCCAACTTCCATTTTCTTGTAATTTTGGGTGTTCATTTTTCTTTTTCACTATTTTTGTTTTAAAATTCAGAGGTTTTGTTTTGTACAATATATTCTGAAGCTCAAGAGAAGCATAAGGTCATTTAAGTTACCTGCAGATATCTTCTGCATCAAAATATCTGGAGTTCCTGTGATCTATAACAATTATTTCCTGGTGCTTATCAAGAAAACATTCAAGTGCTGACTCTGGAGTCCAGGCAATATTGCACCCGTATCCAGCTCTGTCACAAGCCCACCAGAAACCATTGCTTTGGTTGTCTTCTTTTGCAAAGATGAGCAAAACCTGCAAAGGATCCAAAACAGTAGCACCACATTAAACACACAAAGTAGTCCTCTGCATGGTGCAAATCTTAACAAACACTTCCGCTCTATGAAAGATTGAGTCTGTTTTGAAAGTGGGAAGGTTGAAGCACAGCTTGTAAAGCAGCTGATGCAGTAGTACAACTTTCTTAATGGATAGAGAGGTCATCAATAGATAATCAATAGTTAATTGAGTAGGTCTGGTTTTCAGGACAAAACTAGCTTGCTAGACGATGATTCTTTCCTACCTCCTGTTCCAATTCATTCAGTAACCACCCAGAGTGTTCAAACATCATTGTCACTCCCATCAGGCCATCCAAGCTATGCACACTTTTGATTGTAAGGAACTGCCTGAAATGCAACTAATCATCACTTTTCCCTGAAAAGGGACAAACAATTAACATAGCACAGTTTTATTCATAACCAATATTATTTCAATACTGAAAAGAGCAGTTTTGGATAGGATTAGGTGTGTGTGTGGGAAAATCAAACATCACAATTTTGAACTCAATAAATTGTCCCAAATTGTCCCTGAATATATGATGTAGTTTCAACAATTTCAGCTGAACACTTAAGGAACTGCTCATGCAAAATTGGATAGGATGTGTACTGAGATGCCATTCTGAAAAGCAAGGAGATGCTGTAGGAAGCCTGTTTGCTAACTGACACGCAGAATAGAGACTGAAAAGGGCTGTGTTTCTGTGCTTCTCATGTAAGAGAAAATCTTTTTAGGAGAGAATAAATTTTTTATCCACTTCTATAATACATACATTATCAGAGTACAATTTATTCAGCAAGGAACACAAGTCATGTAGACATTCCTCATTACAATTTGCATAAATTTACCACAGCGACAGGTAACTAACAGTGCTGCTCTGTGTGTCAGATGAAAAAAAGGGCTAATTTAGTGCAAATAGTGAAAAAGAAGGGCTCACAAAGTCAAAAGTTTATCCACAGCTATTTAAATTGCACTGAAAGGCAGCAGCTAGAGAGTAATCACTTATAAAGCAAAATCCTGTTCATTTCACAAATAAAAGTCATCCCTAACTTCAATGAAACAACTTGTCTGTGAAAAATTCGCAAAATTTTTCTCCAAATGCCCATAAGAGAAGTCAAAAACCTTTCATCTGTGCTGCTTTGTGCAGCTGTGGTGTCAGCCCATGAATTTCAACACCATCAGTCTAGAAGTTAGAAAAGGTGAGCATATCTTTCTTCTTATCCTGAGCTGTCTGGATTGTTGAATTCTAAACAATTAAAAAATCAATCAGTGTTACTGTGACATAACAACCAGTCAAGGTTTCATTAAACAGTGGAAGAAAATTATGTGCTCAGAATTTCCATAATTATTAAGAAACAACTTAGGAAATTTCAATTTATTAGAAATAGTTTTGATTGCAACTAATAATAACTAGATTTGGTTTACTGACACACAACATCCAAGGTAAGTGTTGTCATTCTACCTAATGCTTGATTTTTTTTCCAGCCATCAAAGTGATGGAAAGCAGCGATGTGGTCAAGCTGCAGACTTTGTCTGCCCATTCTTGGGTGAAGTGCCTACTCAGACAGAATCTTCTGTTTGGTTCCAGCTGCCACTAGTTTTATTTTGTTCCTTTGTTTGAAACAATATGGTTCAGAAAAATGGGGGTGTGCCTATTTTTTGTATCTTCCTTCTCTCAGCACTTCCAGTTTGGAAAGAAAGGATTGCAAAATACAATAATTTACCAGTTGTAAAATAATGCAGCTTAATTAAACCACCCAATCTCTCACTTATCACACAATTATCGCACAATTATCAGTGTGCAAATTCTTCCGAGAATATTAACGTTAAATGTTGTTTTAACGTTTTACTACAATGCTTTCTCATTAGCATTTGTATGAAGCTTACTATTAATCACCAAAATATAACCTAACTAGAAGTATAGTTTAAGATACTTTCTCAAAGTCAAGATAAAAGTATAACAATTCATATAAACAACACGATCAAGGAAATGCTTGAATTTGATCTGTGTCCCTTGGCAAAAAAAAAAATGCAGGTAGTTATTTTTCGTTGCATAATTTGCCAGTGTTGCTGTAAAAATCAGTGCTGCCCTGGTTTAGGAGCACCATGAACTGTCTCTATGGAGAAACCTTCATAATTTTGGTGATGTACTTTTTACTCTCTTTCTAAGTACTTGCTTCACACAACTATTGCACATCTTGCTCCCAGTTTATTGTACAAATAAAGAAAATGGACAGAAATTTGCTCTAAAGAGCTTGAAATAAAATAAGGGACACCAGCTTAGGACATGCAGGATACTCAAAGAAAACAGAAAATTACAGCAACTTAAGAAGTTATTTAATTATTTTCACATCATCATATCCCAGCAAGAGACTTTTAAGGTGGAAAATACATAGTATCCCTGAATTAAGTTACAAAAATTTTAGTCCAAAAATTGGCATGAGGAAACAATAAAATGCTGTGCATCGATATGGTTCATTTGCAGCTCATCAGGGTATTTCAAAATCATCAGACCAGAAATGGAGTTTGATGTCAATGCTGTGAAAGATATTATGGCAAACGAATATCCTAAAAGGTGAGAAAATGAAGCATTTGAATAAGTGCACACCCAAACATTTATCAGTCCTAATAAACACTTCTGCAACAAGATACACCACTAAATGTTTATGAAAACCACCTACCTCCTCTGTCCTCTGGAGAGGGCACATTTACATGTACTTTTATCATGGTCATTTCTAAGGTCTCAGAATCCAACCATTCCTATTTGCAAGCCTTGTTGCAAAACTGGGGCAGATGTGCAAGCTATATGTGGCATGTTAGGATGGCTAGGGCTTGTTCATTTACTTTAGACTCTCCCCCTTGCCTCTTAAGGCCAGAAGCACCTGGGTCATGATCCAGTATAAACCAAAGCAGATTTTTTCTCCAACATATACAGTCATAAAGTCCAGTGAGGAATCTATTAAAAGGTTTATGGCAGGTCACAGCCATAAGGTCACAAGTAAGGTCACCTCTCAGACAAAAAATGTGTGCCATTTCAAGGTTGGCACAGGTGTCCCATAATAGCATAAAACACACACCAGAATAAAATGAACTTTACTAAGAAAAATAGAAAAGTCCCAGTGGCAATTGTTTTAACAAACTGAACTTGCTTCTCAGACAATTGTAAACATTATTAATCACCCACAAACAGACATTTAAAATGTGATATTCAGTAGCTGTTTGCACTGCACAGAGAAACATGTAATTGCATTGTTACGATGGAATAAAAGATTAGCACACATTTTTTAAATGTATGGATATGTGTAACACTTGCCAAGTTATCTGAGGCAATATGGTGTGTTCCACAAACAAAGGAGGTGGGTTTACATGAAGTGTTTTACCTTTACCATAATAAGTTAGCGTATGGCAACGTCTTTGTGGAAAATTCTTCAGTTAATGATTTTAGTTAAAGAATGATTTCTGCTTTACTTAACATGGATTTTTACACCGATTCTCACTTCTGCTATGCAGGGACAAAAAATCATCCCCATCTGGCAAGATAGCAAGAAGAATGTCAGATTTAAAAACAAAAAAAATACCACTTTTGTTTCTTATATGAAAAATCTTCACTTGTAACGGCTAACACTGATATGATGATACTTTGGCAAATCCAATTTCTATAACGCAATACACTGACATAAGGGTTGAGAGTATTTGTAGTTGCTAAAGGACTGCTTTAGCATCTTTCTCAAGATGATCATGGTTTAAAGAATATTATTCTGTGAAGAGTTCTACATTTCTGTGTTGAAATTCCTTGCAAAACCAAAGTCTGTTCTACTGCTGAAGCCACTGTTCCACAATCTCGTTACAATATCAACAAACATTTCATTGGATCAAGTCATAATTAAGATGCTTAATAGAGTCATAAAAATGTAAAGCTCTATGATGCATATATACAATTTAGTTTCCCCAAGAAATAGCATTTTTTACACACATAGATTTTTCACAGAAAAGGTGATGGTGACTAAATGTCTCCATATTTTATAGAATTAAGTGACTCCAACGTTAATTCAAATGAATTACATATCACTAGAACAATGTTAAAGCTTAAAACTCTTTAATTTCCTATAATCTGAGAGTTCCAACACCTGCTATAAGCTAAAAAAAAAATAACACTTGGCATCTGTTTACTGTCATAGGAATAAAACCTACAGAAAAAGAAGCAGGTATAGGTGACAGCTGTTGCTCCTTAAGTTGAAGTTCAACCTGTTTTGTTGGAGGTCGTATGATTTCTTGGATCTGTAGAACCACAGTTCTTTGCCCTGTTACAGTTCTCTGTCCTGTTGTGCAAACCCCAGAAAACCTGGATGTGTACTTAAACTCCATGAAGCTCTCCGCTTTGGCATATCAGAACTGAATAGTTTTTAATATGCACAGAGGAAGCTCTTTCCCTTGTTAATGCGCATACACACATACTCCTAGTGACAGGACATATGGGTATGATGGGACATTAATGGAAATCTAAGCATATTGTTTACCAACTTAATTTACTTGTAAATCTCTTCTCAAGCAATCAGATTCAGCAAAACACCAATTACCCATCTCACAGTCCTTGTACAAGTGAAATGAAAATAAGATACTTAACTATAACTATTAAATATTAACACTGAATTGGCTGTATCAAGAACCTGAAGGAGCATCTTACCTGAATTGGGTATTGTGTCAGTCTCATGGGCCCAACTTGTATTTCTGTAGTTGAAGCCTGCTAAAGAAGAGCAATATAGATATTTTTTTCAGTCCAGGTCTTAATAAGATAGCATTTTACATGCAAGAAGGAAAGATAAAACAGAACCACGAAAAAGGCTCAAAGGCAGGCTGGCATATGACTAGCAGCCTCAATTTGGCTGCTTTGAAGTGTATCTTACATGATCATATTCACCAAATTCCTAATTTTGCTTTATTTGCCTGCAAGTTAAAAATTGCAGGGTTTTAAACAAGGAATCAAGAAACACTACTTCCTTTTCCCTCTCTCCCCAAAAGGGTACTTTGGTTACATAGAAGGACTTGTATGTTGCTTAAGACTACAGAAAGCCATTTATTTCTGGCCAAAAATTGCCCTATTCATTTGAATGTAATACAGAACTTGTATTAAAGGTCTTGTGACATATACTAAATAATAGTGTTTTAATGAGTTTGATTAGGAAAGAAGAGACTTTTCAGATAAGGGAACTTGTTTGAGTTGCAGATTTAAAGCTGTTTCCCAGAACAAATTTAGTTTTCAGGTAAAAACATCACTACCATGTGAGCCATGACATTTTCAGAAGACATGAGAGCACATCATAATTTAAACCTACTGCAAGAAAGCCAGTAGATGTAGGTGGTCGCTGCTCTGTTTGTTATATTTCCTAGGAGCTGGACTACCTTAATACTTTTTGTGTCTTGATACATTTCAATACACTTCTGTACGCCACTGATTTGTTTCACTTCAGACCATTAGCTACATAAGGTTGTTAAGCAACAGAACAATACATATGTCTTCCCACGGATGTACATACTTTTGAGTCTTTGAACACTTAAAATGTTGTTCCTCTCATGCATATGGAGAATTAGCTGCAAGTTACCAATCTCCAAAAGGGCAGACTCCTTTGATTTCCCAGTTACCAGTTATCCCAGGTGCCCGGGGTAAGCAAATTAAAGCAATCACCTCCCAAGACATGTAATTTGACCAAAATCCTAATTTGGTCAAATAGACAGAGTCCCAGGGCCATTCCCTGACACATAGGAATCCTGGAGCATTATTTCTGTGGCACTTTGCTCTGTGATGCTCAATAAGTTTGAGCCTTTTACACAGGCAACACTTAATCCTTTAAAAATGCATTTTTCAAAGGAATATGTAACAATATTCAAAATGATTGAAGGTACCAGTATTCAACATTTTCCTTCTGACAGTACAATACTGTGTTAAGTATTAACAGCCTTGCCTACATGTGAGACAGTGGTATTATGTATAGCTACGACTGGCACATTGGGCTTTCATGCACCACTGCGCATTGATTCTTCTCAGCCCAACAACATACGTCAGAAGGTGGTAATGGGCACTACTCCAAAAGATTAAACTACAAAGCCTGCCACTGTTCTCCAAAGCAAGAACTGCCCCCAATATAAATGTAGTTAACCTCTCCCTTTCTCACAGAAAAGCTTCACTTCCCACTTGAGCTCCCGCTGTAGCAGAATGTAGCTTAGTGCCTGTAAGTGTATCTCAACAGAAATGAAAGCACCTATCATAAACCATGACTTGAGAGTAAGATCAGAGAAACAGTTCTCTGAAAGCTCCCACCTTCTCTTCCTCTTCAGCCAAAAAAGAAAACCAGCACATTCACACTCCACTGGTGCTATCTAGGAAACTCTTCAATACATTTTTTATCTTGATTTACTTTTATTAAAAAAAGAATGTTTAGAAAATCTGTAAGACTACATAACAGATCTGGGTCAGTGTCAGAGCAAAAGCTTCTTTTTTGACAGTGCACAGCTCAAACTGTCTCAGAATGTGTGGATCAAGAGCCTGGGATTTTTCAACAAAAGAAGAACACAGATATATCCATGTATGCTAGGACACAGATATTTATTTTATTATCCATTTATTAATGCTAGGGAAATATGCTAGGGAACTCACATTGTAAATGAATGCCTTCCACTTCCTACCACTTCAGCGGACATCCAGTTTTAGTCACTCTGTATTGCCAAAAATGGAATAACTGTCTCCAAGACATAGATCAATGCAGGTAAGTCTATCAAATCCTTTACAGAGATTACTTTATAGATTAGCCACTTTTCTTATCCTGTTTATTGTAAAAGAACAACAACAAAATAATCCACTCACTCAGACTCTGACTCAGAGTTTTTCTCCCTGCTGCTTCTGTGTCAGCCTCAGGAATAGAAAACATAAGAAAAAGAAGAACATAAAAATCAGGGTCTTTCTCTCTCTTCCCCCCTTCCTTTCAGTTTCAGGGTGTTCCTGCCTTTGCTAACAGCAGGAAAGCATGATGAAAATTGGAAAATCTGAGCCTTCTGATGTAGGTGAACTTGTCCCGGTCCTGCTCTGTGCAGACATGATAGGGTCAGAACCACAGAGGGATGCAAAATAGGTGCTGTTATATATGAAAGATTGCCATGTATAGCCTTTAAGTCCCCAAAATGACTAACTTCATTTCTTATACAACACACGGAAACAGATGGAACTGTCAAATTAAGACTGGTAATGAACTTGAGTATGGGAAGGATAAATAAACCTTCTTGTCAAATATAGCAAAAGGTACATCTGAAATACTCCTTCCTGAGTCTTGTTTTACAAGCTGAATCAGACCCTTGGATTTATATGCCCAAATTACTGTGGGTATAAGTGACTGACTCACTTTTTCGAAACTCAGCTACGGGAGGCAACAAGAATAATGACGTGTCTGGCCTTCACAAATGTCCTATGGATCTCTCATGGGCCTAAAGGAACAAATTATACATCTTCTGAACTTCCAGAAGAATGTGACCATGTGGACATGGCATAGCAGTGATACCATGACTGCTGTTCGTTTTCTCACATAAGGGAATATCACATTGCTGATGATTTCCAATTTAAATGAAGCTCTCATTATGTGACTGACTGCTAGGAAGGACTGTTAATAGATCTGCAGTCTAAATCAATTGGTGTAGTAGCTCATAACAGACTTTTCTGGTAAAACACGGAGAGATAAGCCTGATTCCAAAGAGGTCAGTGAGAAAATCCCTAATTGCAGTGAGCAGAGGAACAGACACAGTGCTGGAAGCAAAGAAATAAAAAATAAAGTAACAACCTGGAAACACTAAAAGCTGAAAAAAGTGAAAAAAATTTTGGTTTAACATTTTAAACTGCCTAATATTATTTTCAATATCATTATAACATCCTAAGCAATCTCCACAGGAATAAGTTATTAATCAAATAATTAGACAAAATCAATGGTACTTTCTTAACTATTATGCTTTTTTGTAAATCAGTGATCATCAATTACCTTACTATCATAGCAGTGACATTAAGCAAAATGCAGTTACTGCTTCATTAAATTTCCACCTTTCTAAATTATCAGTACAAAAATCTTTACCCCCTTATGCCTGCAGACTTACAGCCCCTGCAGTTTATGAATCATCAATAATTACCAACACACCACTGTAATTAGTGTTGACTAATTACTACAGAAAAATCTTCTTGCATAATTCTGTGCTGCTCCAAAGCAACAACTGCAGCTGCAGCCAAACAAGCAGTGAAGCAAGGTGTAGTGGGTTGACCCTGGCCAGATACCGAGTACACACTAAAGCCGTTCTCTCACTCTCCCTCTGCAACTGGACAGAGGAGAGAGAACAAAAAACAGCTAAGGATTCATGAGTTGAGATAACAGCTGGGAGAGGTCACTCATTGATCACCTTCGTGGGTCACTCCTCCATGGGGTACAGTCCTTCACAAATGAGCTGTACTGACATGGGTCCCACACAGGGGACACAAGTCCTACTCGGTAAAAACCTGCTCCAGTGTGGGCTTCCCTCTCCACAGGCTGCAGGTCCCTGGTAGGACACTGCTCCATCTTGGGCTTCCCACAGGGTCACAGCCTCCTTCATGCATCCCATGGAGGAGTGACCCACGGGACAGCAGTTTGGGAAGAACTGCTGCCCGAGGGATGGACTCACACTGGAGAGGTCCATCAAGGACTGTCTCCCGTGGGAGGGACCCCACGGGAGCAGAGGGGGAAGGACTCCTCTCTCTGAGCAGCGGCAGAAACAACAACTGACCTCAACCCCCATTCCCCCTGCACTGCTGGAGGGGAGGAGGGAGAACATGGAAGGAAGGAGGGGGGAGAGGAAGGTGTTTTTAAGACTGTTTTATTTCTCACTCTTTGGCTCTTATCCTATTAGTAATAAATTTAAGTACTATCCCCACTTTGAGTCTGTTTTGCCCATGAAGGTGATCAGTGAGTGACCTCTCCCAGCTGTTATCTGAACTCATGAATCCTTAGCTGTTTTTTGTTCTCTCTCCTCTGTCCAGTTGCAGAGGGAGAGTGAGAGAATGGCTTTAGTGTGTACTTGGTATCTGGCCAGGGTCAACCCACTACACAAAGGTGTTGTGAGTTCAGCCTCCTGAAAAGGCTGTGGATGTGCCAGTTGAGAAGCATCACACAGATGCCAAGGTCCCTTTGGACACCCTTTTGCCCTGAAGGTTCCTTCCCTCTGTATCTTTTTTCTCTTTAGTTACTCTCACACTGGTGTATCCCTTCCTTCATCTTTGTAGTATGTTTTCAGACCTCTGTCCCTTTGGTTTAGCAAATGGGTAACAGGACTCTCTTTTTGACCCAGCTTTCCCCTGGTTACATCTCCCCATCTTTGCTAGGGTTCATTTGCACTTCTCTCCAGCTCACTTTCCCCCATCCACACCACTGGTGAGAGTTGACAACTCAGCCTGTCCTTTGGCTCTTACCATTCCACTTTTGATTGTACCACTATTTTCAGTCTCAAATCCCTTGGCTTTTTTTTTTTTCCCCCGGCCAAACTACAGTCCTGAAAAGAATTACAACCATGTATGACCTCAACACAGGCCTTAGCCAGCTTGAATTCCCTTATGAGACATAGGACACAGAGCTATTTTCTAACATCCCTGGCCTGGAGCTGATGTCCTGCTCCTCTGCTTGCTACAGCACACCTGACCAGGGTGCCCAGCTTCTCTTCCACTGTTAGCAGAGTTACACTCCT